TGGGACTGACGATAGCGAAATTTTCTGCAGGTATCGAGGGCTCCTTCTTCTGCAATCAGCAGTGTTTCAAGAGCTCCTGGAGCGTTCACAAGTCAGTTCACAAAGCGACTCCGAAGTCCAACGGCGACGCCAAGTACAACCCATGGCCCCACTATAATTTCTCGGGACGACTCCGACCTGGCCGAGTGGGTCCGATGAGAGATGTACCCGCTCACATCCTGCGACCCGACTACGCCGATCATCCCGAAGGGATCGCCGTATCGGAACAAGCGATGAAGGGAGCCGAAATCAAAGTTCTCTCGGCTGCCGAAATCGAGGGCGTCAGAGTGGCCTCGAAACTCGCGAGAGAATGTCTGGACACGGCGCTGAGGGCTGCGAAGCCTGGCGTCACGACAGACGAACTGGACAGACTAGTTCACGAAGCAGCCATCGAACGCAATTGCTATCCCTCTCCCTTGAATTACTATCTGTTCCCGAAGAGCTGCTGCACTTCGGTGAACGAAGTGATTTGCCACGGAATTCCGGACGATCGAGTCCTCGAAGACGGTGACATTCTGAACGTCGACGTCACGGTGTACCACAAAGGATTCCACGGGGATCTGAACGAGACCGTCTTCATCGGCAACGTCGACGACGCCGCCAAGAACCTCGTCCGTGTGACGTACGAGAGCCTCCAGAAGGCGATCGAGAGCTGTCGGCCCGGAGTTCTCTATCGTGACATCGGCAACGTGATCCAGAAACACGTACAACCGCACGGATATTCCGTCGTGAAGTCCTATTGCGGACACGGAATTCACTCGTTATTCCACACAGCGCCGAGCGTTCCCCACTACGCGAGGAATAAGGCTGTAGGAGTGATGAAGCCCGGACACATTTTCACGATCGAACCGATGATTTCGGAGGGTAGTTACAAGGATGAGGTGAGTGAGATACGTCCGCAAGAGCCCTCGTAGGGCGGTGGGTTACCCACTGGGAGCTTTCGGGATAATTGCTGAATTCGCTTTCACAGGTTTGGCCCGATAACTGGACGGCTGTGACGATCGACGGTAAACGCTCCGCGCAATTCGAACAGACGCTGCTCATCACGGAGACCGGTGTGGAGATTCTAACCCGTCGGCGTGAGAAGAACGGCCAACCCTGGTTCATGGACCAACTCGAAGCGGAATCTAAGTCGTGATGATGTCTAGTCTCATCCTGTGGCTGGTAGAGAAAGCAAGAATACTCGGCGAGGTGTGTGAAGCAGTTCGATCAAAGGGGTCTGCTGAGAGTGGAGGGAAGGAGTCTCTTCTTGTTTCCCGAGGGGAAACTGACGGATCTCCCTCCTGTCGGAAATTTTCGTCTGTTTAACTCATGCGTTTGTATATCTAGCGCGTCAATATAAAAATGTTAAATTAAGCCATGGAAATAAAAACAAGCGAGAGTTATTCCTGACTCGGCAGACATTCCTTATTGAGTCTGCATTCGTAGCTCAGGAGGGATAGAATCAATCCATTCCGTCACGTCATGAATTCAGCGGATCGATGACGTCGAAGGGTTTCGTCTCTGCGAACTCTCTCAAGCACACAAGTCATTTTGAGAGCGTCCATCGACCATCGATCAGGTCGAGAGAGTCAGTCGAGACTAGCTCAGAAATAGGAATCGATGGGAGGAACTCGACCATTCGCTGAACTTTCCCGGCCCGGTCAGGAAAAAATTCTCCGAAGGGAGTCCCTCCCCCTCCAGGAAGAGATGGCTCTAATATTGCGAGGGCCTTAAGGAGCTCGCAGCTCCGGATAAATCTTTGGGGAGACTGTTGCAGATACACGGAGCATTTCGTTCATCGCTTCCTGATAGCGGCTCGTCTGAGCGGAATGAGTCTAACAGTGAAGTGCATCGCTTGAGGCTCACTCTCGAGGGGTACACGATCATGCCCTCGAACCGGAAACGAATTGCTCCGCTTCAGTGTTCCGAGGCAATGATCATTGGGGCTGAAGTGGCTTCGAGAAAAATGTTCCTCACCTCTCGCCCCCCCTCTGATGGAAGGGTAGACCTCAATTTCTGACCGATTCCGAGTCGAATTCAGAACATGGAAAAAGTCCATCGGATGCTTGTTGCCGCTTCAGCAAGCTCTCGGGAAATCCTCGACTATCGGAACTCTGATTTCTCTCTTCGAGTATTTGATTGAGTTCCGAACGACCCCGGCACGGTGTGGGGTAATTGTCATCAACGAGAGCGACAAACGAATGTAAGGCCGGTTGTAGCCGATTGTGCCAGCATAAAATCTTCGGCCCCCTCTGTGATGTCGTTGAGTAGGGAAGCGAAACTCCTCGATTCCCCTAAAAGCGATCGGGGAGGGGACCTAACTTGGGGAAAGAGCAATCACCTTGATCTCGGGGTTTCAGATGAAGCCAATGAGACTTGTTCACGACCGTTTCGAGGTTTACGACGTTCCGGAACGTTGCCACGGGAGGTATCAGATGAGCTGTAAAGTTTTTTCATGTTTCGTTAGTCATAAAACGGGCCAATCTTCCTCAGCAAGCTTATTTGGGGACGAAGTCGAGCCACAGCAACAATCTATCGAAGTTCGAAGCCGGGAGCGCCGCGCGACTCTGGCTGCGAGTGAATGAATCACGATTCGGAAACTCTTGCTCAGAGGAGTACTGGCACTCCGCGAGGGAACTCGAGCAACACCCTACGGGGGCTCAGCTCCAGTTTAAAGTCCAGACGTCCGGAGCCAGGATTAGCATTCGGATAAGATTGGTGAAAGAAGAGGGAACCTGAAGTCGGAGTCGCGCTCCTCGAGGCGGAGGATTTCACTGACTGAGAAGGCTCGTCGTTGCCCATATTAAAACCGGGCTCAAACCGCTCGGCGGTGCGCCGAAGCGCCGACGCATTCCTTGCAAAGGCACCCGCTTTCGATGAAGGCGCCTGAGTGTGGCCATTACTGCCAGCCAGCCTGCGCTCCTGCGGGATCTTTCCGCTGCTCGTTCTCATATTCTGGCGACCAAGCATCGAGCGAAGCAATATTGCGGAATTCCGCCGTGTCGCTTGGCCGCGTTTCACCTCGCGGATCATCGGGTTGTAATTGCAGGGATGGGGGGAGTCATCCTTGAAAGGTCGCGAAAGTTTCATTATTTCTACACCATTGGCGTCATTCCCGCTTTTCATTCGGCAGCAGAGCTCATTACGGGCATCCCGTCCGAACGTACCCAGTCGGCTACGACCGCAATAGTGGCGACTATGATGATACCGCTTGTCGCTGTAACACGATATAATATTCGCCGGTGATGCCTCTCGAGGGAACAAGCATCGGTGTGTCACGAAAACCTTCGGCAATCGCTAATAGGGCACTCTCCCACCTCGATGTATGACTTATCGTGTCTGAGCTTCACGGAAGGAACAGGGCACCGGCTCTCAGCATTCGTACGAAGTCGCGTATTCGGCCCCGAGCAGCTAGACAATAATTTTCTGCTCCCAGTGTATGTCGGCGGAACACTATTGCGAAAATGAAGAGCTTCTCTCGCAGACTACGAGACGGAAATGAGATGAGGGGCCATACCCCCTCCGCCCCTGCGGATTCTGCACAGAGCCAGAATCCCCGTCTCGGGGAGGGGCTCCGTCTGGAGGGTCATCTCCAGTGGATGACCGTGTACTTCGATCGATGCATTGCAAACTATCCGCGGGTCTTGAGTCGAGTCAGTTCAACAAGTCTCACGATTCGCTCACTTGCTCGCTACAAGCGAGTTAATTATTGAGGATGTGATCCATGAGCTCGTTCGAGTGGCGAGACGCAACGGCGTACGGCTCCCCTGCTTCCGGAATGTAGTCCTGCAGGCCGGCCCAATCGATTTCAGTCAAAGTCTAAGGATCCGATGCGACGGTATTCGAACGAGCTGAATAGACTCTCAAAAATAAATCAAGAACCCTCGCATCGATGTATTGATAATATGTGATCGAGTCCTAGCAGCCGAATCGTCCATGGAGGACCCAATCGCCGATGATATCGCATCTCGAACACGGAACCCTCGACCGGATCTAGAGCCGCGGCCAAGCACTCAAATTATTCTAAAAGTAGAGATTCGAGACGCTTCCGAAATTAAGTATTTGTACGTGAGACTCTCTCGACCCTCAGCTAATTCAAAGTTTGAAATTGAATCGAACGACGACTCCGTATTGAGTTGCTTCCCGACACTCCGCGACTCCCGGTCGATGCAATAAGGAGCCAGGAAATTAAGTGGGCCCGACTCATCGCCCACATCCTTTCTCGAGCAATTCTCATTGCCTCGATGCCTACGAACTCGGCTCCCATCCAACAAGTTTCAAGCGAGCGTGGGAGTTTCATGCGAGAGTTCGATGCGGCCTCCGGTGCTTCACATAGCAACAGAGTCATCGCGCAAGGAATTTCATCACGCGAGCTCCCACGGTAAGACACGAGCATGTTTTCGTTCGGGAAAATATTCCCGACGTCGACGAAATGTGAGACGATGTTCCGAGGTTGTAGAGAGAAGTCCGTTTCTTTGCGTACGACGCCGACGCGACGTAGGTGGGAGAAGCAATGAACCGGTTGCGATATTTCGAACACAAACGATCAAAGAATTCTGCTGCTATCAATCCTAAGCTTTTCCCGTAAGTTGAGAGACAAAACTCACCTTCGGGGATTTCACCATGGAGAGGCGCGCACTCATGGCCAGCTGGACAATCTGGGCACACGGGACAAACTTCCTCCACAAGTCTTGGAGGGGGCGGGACCCCGTACGTGGTGAAGCTGGTCAACTCATTCACATCTCCCGACTTCGACCCAGGTTTCTTAGCTGGAAAGATCATTCATTTGAGCGAAGTGTCGAACAATTTGGCGCCGATGCGTCGAGAACCTCGTCGATTGACGGGGCTTGGGGGAGCACTGTTGATGAACGAGTTTCGGATGATAGAGAATAATAGATATTTCCGGTAGATCTTCCCTCTCTGGGAGATCATCTTCCTCTCGATCGCTTCGGGCAGATATACGGTGAAAAGAACAATAATTGCAATGAGGCGGAGTACTCCAAGCCGGTTTCGACGGCCCGCCTGCATCCAGCAGAGTGAGGAGAGAATCGACGGACGCAGGGAGAATTAGGCGGCGGCGGAGAGAATTAGGCGAACGCGGCAAGACTCTCGACACAGCTTCGATCGCAATGGGCACTCGAGGGAGCGGAGCGCGTTTCGGAACAAAGGGCTGGTTGGACCTTGAAAAATGCGAAATCAAGTCCGGATGCGGGGGGTCTGCCGAAACTGCGACCGAGCCTCGAGTCTGAGATTACAAAAACAAATTCGATCGGGATTCGTCTCTCTTTACGAGCAACAATCTCCGATTTTATGTGAAGGAAACTTTCCTCCACAACGATCCTCCGAGGCTTTACGATATCATTTCGTAGACGATGTGCGGGGCGTGGCCATCGCCGCTCAGTTTCGAATGGATCGGCTGAGCTTTGCGGGGAGCAATCTGTTCAGATCCGAGGTTAATTGGCTGGTCCGGGGCCTTTATTTTGCAAGTAAACGAGTTCGTCGTAGTTGAGCGAGTTCACTCTACGGCCCACCCGGAAGCACGAAACGGCTCTAGCAGCACAATATAAGTGGAATCGAATACAAATGAAGCCGATCCAGGAGGTGTATTGCTCTTCGAGAAAACTCAGGATCTTGCAAGTTGCTTCGAGGAACGAAATGCGGCCCGCCGATACGCTACATTAGAAATGGAGCGAACTCGACGGTGGCGAGTCGAAGACGGGGCGGGAGTAAATGCTGCCCCAGACGTCGGTCGGTCTATTGAGCCCATCGATTCTAACTTATCGTCAACGTTTCCCGGAAGCACCATAGATGGGAGTTCCTCAAGGCGGCCTTGGGTTTCGCGGGAAAAGGTATTAGATTGAGGGACGCGGGAATGGATCAAAGATCGGTTCCTTGTTGCGCTAATGATCGGCACTCACGTGTGATTGAGAATACGCCGGTGGCTGTTCCTCTGGAGTTCCTCGCGATGCATTTGTAGTGAGCGAAGTCCTTATCAGAGACGTAGGCCACCACAAGTGAGCTCCTGAGCACGTAGGGTTCCTCGAATTCTTCTTCAATTGTGTATTTGAGATCGTCGTGTATTATCGGTTCGTCTGCAAAATCATCGAATATCATTTCCCCGGCTCTTTTCGTCAACTCCCACCTGAGGGTTCGGGCCAACCTTTTCGCCTCAGGCGAGCTACTCCGTGCGAGAAGCGGAAGTGTGTGGGACCAAGGGCTCTGATGGATACCGGTGGCAACGAATCTCAGGCATTGTCTGATCGAGGACATGCGTACGAGGCCTTTCCCTGCCTGGGATCGGACGACAGCTTACCATCGCCTTTTATCCAGTAGACGCTCGCCCTCGGAAAAGCTTCGATGAGGCACTCCAGACGTGCCGTAGCTCCGTCACGGACCGAAACCATCCAGTTGGCGATCTTGACGAACGGGGAAACTGCTCGGAAGTGTGATTCATTAGTACATCGACACGGAGGCTCTCCCCGTAGCTAAATATGGATAGGCGCGAATTCAATCGCAGAAGCGATCTCCAGTAAGATTATTCGTATCCGGCTCCGCCAGAGCCTGAACTATTCGAATGGAATGAGCAATCTCGGACTTCCGAGAAAAAAGAAAGGTCCAGGGGGAGCCGAGAGTCGAAAGGCAGAGCCCGAACCACAGCACCAGCATCAACAACAACAGTAAAAATAAGAGCAGCAACTTGAACGATTTTGGGCGCGGCTGCACAAGTGCACTATGTCATGAGGACCGGGCCGTGCTTCCGTTCCGCGTCCTCGCAGGGAGAGCCAGCCCATATTTCAAGCAGGGAAGATTGAGGTACAGGTTCCGTGGAGCAGCCGACCTGCCAGCCAGGTTGCTTGCCGGCCTGCCTGCCTATTCCCATCTATTCAGACAAATTGGTCAGACAAGGGCCCCGCCGTGTGAGTGGCGGGCCGGCGGCGGGTAGATCGGTCGCCTATCCCGCCCTCGCTTACAAGAAACTGCTCAGCTGGTACACCGTCTAGACTTTATACGGCTCCCCGCTCGATACGCTGGCCTCCACTCAATATGCAAATGTGGCTGTTGAATCGAGTGCTCATGGGTTCGAACGGAGCGTCCATGGAGTTGTCGACCGGAGGATATTGAGAGGAAAATGACCGATATTCTCCGAACTCTTCAAAAGCGTATCGACTTCAGGTTTCGGTCAGAGGGGGCCACGACAGACAATCGGAGTTTGGACGCCGGGTTCTATTGAGAAGGCTGATATGTTCACCGAGATTCTTGATTGATCTTCATTTTGATTTTGCAAAGCCCTCCAGATCAGGATCTCGGATCGCGGCGAGACCTACCTACCTTATGCGGCACGTATTCTGCGCGCAAGCTACCGCGGTAACTCCTCGAAGCTTCATGCTCTCAGAACGAACGACCAAGGTCTCATTTTTGACATCGGTCGCAATCATAATAATCTATGTAGATTCTCCGGCCCATCGCTCCTCCCGACCGAGAAAACTGACGTTTAGCAAGCTAAGCAGACTGCTCGCGGCTGTGATCCGGGGTCGGTGTGAGGTCGGAGCTCGCCATATCTGCCCGTCGCGGCTCAAGCCCACGAGGATTCCAACGAATGAAAACCCTTGCGATGACGCATTCTTTGTTTGTGTTGCTTCCGACTTCGGAATCTTCGCAACCGGCCTCCTACGACATTTCGAGAAGCGATTTCTCTACCCGTCGAATCAATGAGAGCTTGGGGATGTTGTCCACATTGAACTCTTTGCTCCCAAAATATCCCGGTCTCGAGTAACCGGATCCCGAGCAGAACGAAATCGCGAAGCTTTGTCACAGAATATCCGAACGAACAGCATGATGACGAAGACTTACATGTGACGTCGACGGTGACTCGTCTCACATCCGGTGCTGCGATTCCGTTGGCGGCTATGCATAGATAATGTCCCATATGCTCTCTCAAGGCCTGTGTGAAATTGAGGCTCGATCCGAGAATTGAAGACACTGCGCATACATGAAGAAAGGAAGTGATTTAGCTTTGACTTCTCGAAGGTCATAACGTGGGGAATGAACTGTCGGAGGGAGATGCAGGATTTGTCACGCGATTGCTGAATGTGTCACGTTTTAGACCTCAGCGTCTGGTTTTCAGAGCTCTTACGCGATGCTCGTGGGTCGCTAATGCCTAAAACATGTCGACGAGAGAACCGCTATTTCTGGCTGGAGATGGGTTCGGGTCTCTGGTGGCGTGATCCGCCTTTCGAGCCCCCACTCGAGAGCATAGATATTATTGACAATAACCCCGGCATCCGCTGAGCTGTGATTTTCGGGGTGCTCAACCGGCTGGTTCCGGCAGGTCACTGTCACCACGGGCAGGGAATTTCCCATGAGGCGGTCAACTCGGACGAGGCAAGCCGCGGTCTTGGAATGAGTCAATGCAGGCATTCTATACCCCCACCATCTGCCTTGTTTATGAGGATACTCTCCAGCCCTCGTCCGGGCGCTCCTCTTGGGAGATTTTCAGGTCGACGGAGCCCGGACGGAGCGTATTCAAGTGCGACGGCGTCTTCCTTTGAAAGATTTCTCATTCATTAGACGGTTCCGAATTGGAGCTTTCGTGTTGGTTCTGGGCGAGGGGCCGATGGGTCAACAGTTTCTCCTGGAGAGAAAGACCGAACCGACCTCTCGGTAATCCTGGTTTTCGATTCATGTTCTGCACTTTGAAGAAACAGACCCTGAGAGGGCTTAACTTCTTCGAATGGTCCAGTCGTATCGTCGGAGTTCAGGCGAGTGTTCGACTCCCCGACCGATTCCTGCGGTGATCAATTCCGGACATTCCGCACTCTGTTTGTGTCTTTCGCCTCCTCAGAACACACTCATGAAGGCTGGGGAACTGGGCCATGATCACAGGCTTTTTCGCATGGGAGATATCCGATCCCGACAAGCAGAACAAGTCTAAGTAGGTAAATCTCGGGTAAAAGATGCACCGAGGGGTACGCGGTCTCGATTCGATCCTGGAATGCCGCTTGCGGCTTTCCAATCCAACTACTGATGAATCTCCGGAAACACCATCACTCGCGGGAGTTCCCGCCCCGCGAGGTTCGTCCCTGCGGTTTGGGGAGCCTCCTCGTCTCAGAGTCGCTCTGGAACAAGTCGCATGAATGGAGGACTCGCACAGACCGTCGATGGAGCATGACGACCTTTCACCGCTCGTTCCGGAGATGTATTCGTATTCATTCAGCGAGACATCTCATCAGTCCACTGGGCCTGATATCGGATGATTACGAGTCGCAAGGAGCACGGTGAGCAAAGTAGTCGTTTTCGTCTTAGCTTCACCAAGATCTCAGTCAGGGGTTCTCTCGCGTGCCCCACGAGCTCATTTATGCAAATCCTTCCGCCGCTCGTACGAAAAAATCGTGCTAAGCCCCGCTATCTTCCGGCGGATTAGAGAATGCAGCAAGTCTCCCTATGTTCGCTTCGATATTTCTAAATTCCGGGTTTCGTCTCCACAAATGAAAAAATGAACGACGTTCCAGGGAAAGACATTCCGCCTCTGGGAGTCAGAAAGGGACCAGATCCCAGGACCGTCGCTCATCCATTCGCGGGTTCCTGAGCCCCGACGTTCAACGTTGACCGGACGACATGTTCCTATTGGGATTTGACCCTCCTCCGAGACGTTGCTCGATTGGGGGGCTGCCGGAGGACTTCCAATGGATTCATCAAAAATACTCACGCATCCAGCGACCTACGCGTATCGCCCGCGTATCTTCGCGTCTCCAAACGACTTGGGGCCGAGGGATCCCTTGAGGAGTGCAGTGGACCTGAAGAGCCTCGCCTTCTTCCACATTAACGTGTTGTTCACGTTCTACGACGGAGGCTGGAACTGGAGACAATTTTTCCAGTATTATCTCCCCTGACTGAGACCACGCAACGGAGACATAAGAAAGCAACCCTCAAACGGAGTCACCGAGAGTTTCGATTCATGGGATTTTACGAGCACGAGCGGTGGCAAGGAGAATTCTGCTTGAAAACACATACTGGCTTATATCAAAGCAATTATCGGAAAGGAAAGAAGGAAAAACAGAGAGAGATTCAAGCATGCTATATTCTTTAACTATGAACTACGGGACGATGCAAGAACTACAAGAAAACATTCGAAGCGGGTCGATGAAGACGCATGAGTCCGAGGGAATCGAGCCGTGATCTGCATGCATCTAGGTACTGCCTTCTTGACCCTCAATGGGACGGAAATCTCGATCAGGGCTCATCATCTGAAATCGGTCAGGGGCACACTCATTTGTGGAAACAACGGATTTGACTTCACGATCCAATGGCTCAAAGCAGTGCCGAGAAGAGCGATTCGGCCCGTGCATAGATCCAACACGAGACTACACGAGAGCACTTTTGAGAGAAAGAAAAAGAAGGAAGACAGTCCGATATTGAAAAAAATACAATCTTCGAGCTTACCGAGAAGATCTTTCAAATCTGTGATATTTGTCCCTCCGCCGATGGTATACGAGGTTATCCCTGGCAAACCGGGCTGACCCTCGTTGCCTGCTGCACCTTTACGACCGCGGGGTCCCATCGGACCGGGTTCCCCGGTCGGTCCTGGTGGGCCTCTCTGTCCTGCTTCTCCCGGCGTACCTGGTGTTGTTGGTCATTCGTTTATTGGTTGAGCTGACACATCCATGCGCTATGATATCGGCACCTACAGACCCAAGTGTCGAAACCCACCATCCGTGCCGTTACGACCCGGTCTCCCCGCCAAGCCGGGCAGACCGGACAGTCCGTCTCGTCCGGAAGTCCCGTCTCGCCCTGGAGTTCCAGGCATGCCATCGAGACCCGGTTGACCAGGTAGTCCGTCTTGACCCGGCAAACCTTCGTTACCGGGCTCTCCTTTTTCGCCTTTGGTGCCAGGCAGTCCAGGCGGTCCAATGAGAGAGATGTCCGACAGTCGACGGCGCCGCAAAGAATTGCTGTGGTATCGATGTTTGCTAAAGGACTCGGCCGCTTCGCCCTTTTCTCCTTTCGGGCCCCGACAGCTGCACTCTGCTTCGTCGCGCACCTCTCGTCGCCTGCGCCCGCTTCCTGGGGCACCGGGTGGTCCGATCGGGCCTGGCGCACCCGACATCCCAGGCAATCCTGGACTTCCCTGATCACCCTTGGATCCTGGGAATCCCGGTATTCCTGGTTCTCCCTTCACACCTGGCATACCCGGTGGTCCCGGTCGTCCTATGGGTCCGGGTAAACCGGGGTGTCCATCCAAGCCAGGCATGCCAGGAGGACCTGGCGAGCCTGGAGCTCCAGGAGGACCAGGAAGACCTGTGGTGACATCACGGGCACGACGATTGGCGGAGCCTGGAAAGGAAGGGCAGCGTTCAAGAAATGTTGGCCTTCCGTGCTGTATTTCGTTCCTCAGGACTATGTTGTGAGGCCGTCACGAGAGTGAGATAAGAGAACGAGGGACAACTACGGCTTCCTGTCATCACGGCCGACGCTCTCCGTCCATGGGTCCTCATGATCTCCATTTCCATGGCTGAGATGCTTCGCTCCGGACGACTGTGTTGGTGGCTCGTTTCTTTCATAAACGACATTTCGCCAAAAAGAAGGAGTTCATTAGGGAGGACTCTTGGCTCAAATATGCTCGGAGAGGAGCTGGGGGACGCAAGGAGGCGAAGACATCACGATGTTTCCCGACCATCTTGTCATTTGGCTTAGGAGAAAGACATCAGCGTGCCAAACGGGCGTGGCATATATTTCCATTACCTCATGGCATAGCGACGGGGAGAGAACGGTAAGAAGTAGTAGAAAACGAGGAGAGCATAAAAAGAAAGTGATTGTCATTGCCACGGTCGCGAAGCCGTGAACTGAGAATAGCGGATGAAGAACGAGTCGCATGAATAGGGGATATGAGGCAAGGGAAAGCCATGCTCACTGGGAGATGAATAAAGAACCGAAAACATTGACGGGCACTGCTTCTCGTGTCGAACTTCACAATCGTCCGAGCCCCCGATCGCTGTATGATCTCAGAAGTCTCCCCCTGCCGATCATGTCGGTCAGATATGGATAAAATATTATTTAGGGCTTCCCCGCGTGGCTTCAGCGGAAGCTACAGCCTGCTGACTTGTGAGGATCGGTCAAAATGACTGTCCCTGCCGGCTGTCTGATCGTGGCCAGTGAATATCTGTTCAGTGCGACGACCGATGCGGCGGTCGGTGATAGCTGTTGCTCGATGTTACGACATGGAGGCTGGAAGAATATCGGGGAGAACTCTCGCTGGTGGGACACCGAAGGAAAATGAATGTGTATTCCGCTCTCGTCCACCGATAAGATCGCTTGTCCGCTGAAACTGAATTGAAGCTCATGGGCGAGACGATTCCGTCTGTTCCAGGAGCTGCCTGCCAGCCACGCGCCGAACGTAAAAGCTCTGATTTATATACAAAGCGAGAAAGCGTATAAGGAATTCAGAGCTTCGGGAGAGACGACTAGCTTCCGCTGTTTCTTTTTCCCGACTCGAATAAAGGACAACGTTTCAGAATATTTTTAAAATACTCCCTCTTCCGTTGATGATTTCTCGCTTCAGGCAGTGAGTTGCCGTTTGCTGCATATTTTCCAAGACGTGCGTGTGTTCAGCTCCGTTCAGGATTCGATGGTTTTTGCGTGGGGCTTCCGTTGCCGGCCTCGGGGTTCGTTCCAATCTCGAGTGTCAGCTGAGCTCAAAAGAACGTCTGATAGAAGACCTCGCGTGTCAAGATTGAGGTCGAGCTTGCCGTGAGCAGAGAGAAAAGGTGGTCTCAGAGAATTTGCCCTGCCTGTATAGAACATTCTCGGTGTTGCCTCACGTTGCTTGTCCGAGGTGTCGGCGTAAGTAGCTGGAACGCGGGCTCAGATACCCATATTGTATCAGTTTTCGCACGCCGCGCCACCATTATCGTGGTAAAGTTGCCGAGCCGAGTCGGTAGTGCGTGGAGTCACGTCACAGATATTCAATCCAAATTACGGAGGACTTCGGATGCAGCGTCCGTTTCGACAGATATGAAACAGAGACAACCGGTCCCCGAGCGACGCGGGCGGCCCGCGTGACGGGCGCTCATTATTTCGAAGGGACGGGTCTCGATTTTTTTCTTTGGCGCCTCGGGCTGCATCTGAGTGTCTGAGCGGGTTCCGGCTATTTCACGTATTTCATTAAGCGTATCGACGAATCGATGTCGATTCGCTGGGAGAGTCGCTCCTAGTTCTGATTTGAAATCCATTTGCGTACGCGACTATATGTTAAAAGCTTCGTATGCGAGACGTACCATGTACATACATACGTCCAGTCCGTACAGACATAGGGGCATATGTATGTACACATATCACAACTTGCCATCAAGGGGCGGCCGTGGCTCAAAATTCAGGGACGGTTTTGTATTCCCGCGAGATTGAGTTCGAATAAGGCGCGGCTCGGAAACAAACGGGAGGCTCGCGTGTCTGAAGCGCATTGAGTTATTCAGTATGTCCATGTAGCGCGTGCGGCAGTCCAACATGGTACGCGGTCCCGATACTCCCGGCTCGTGCGTCGATGGGTCGTTTTGCTCTACCTGGAGCTCCTTTCAGCGCCAAACGCTGTGGCTGATCCGATGTGTCTCTCTGCGAAAAATTCTGAATCTCGATCCCAGATACCTCTTCCTCCTGCCACTGGCCAGATATGAGGTAACCGCTCCCCCTGACCATGAGTTTGGACATCGGATGCTGCGTGGGCTCGCTCAGGGAGATTTCTTCCTTTCTCTGTCGAACGCCTCCTTGCATTGTGTTGCAGTTTGTGGATACGATAATCATGTCCCCAAACAGTAAATACGAGCATAGACAGTAATCACCGGAGCACGCGGAGGCAATTTTACAACGCTTGCCCTCTAAACTATCGCTTTTTGAGTGTGGAGCGCTCTTGAATCGAGCGAATAAGATTTTCCCTCGGAAGCCAACGGCTCTTTTTCCAAGTTTGGCCTCAGCACGCTCCGCGAGACCGCGTTAAATTGTCGCTGGAGTTGAATCGCAGAGTCTTCTTCCGATGCCAGGGGAGACATTGGAGAAAGAGACCCGGGAAAACGCGTCATACTCTCCTCGAGCGAAGCAAAACCATTTCCCCTAACTCGAGCCTGTCTCTGGATGATCGAGCCGGCACGCGGCATCGTGTCGAAGGACATGGAGGAACTCTACCACACTCACAAACAGCCCAGGAGCCCTCAGGCTAGTTATCCAAACTCAATCCTTCCTCCGGTAGAACCCAAGTTGAGCAGCGTTTCTGAGAGTGCGTGCCGGCAGATCGGCGCTTCGTGACCGGAATGTCCGAGGAACACCGGGAGCATCCGAGAATTCCGATCGGAGACAGCTGGCAGCAGAGAAAAAGGAAATTTTTCTCGGAATACTCTCAGCTGATTCGATAGAGTGCGCTTTTCACGGGCTCGTGTGCTCCAAGAGTCCCGAGCGCCGTATCCTGGGAACAGTGAACGGCAGAAATCTAGAACAGGTCGTCCGGGATCGATGTCCAGCGAGCACATCGTTCGACGGGCACCCGATCAATTATTTCTTTCCCCTAGGTCGTCACGCTCTCTCGTGAAGCGGAGTCCCGATCTACGGCTCTATGATAAGACGATATACGCTCTCATCGTTTCATTCTTACGCGCAGGAAACCGCATCGTGGTTGTCTCGATTGTTCTTCGTATGGCTCCTCCCGCTCTTCCGGGCCGGTCTTTCGCGATCATTGGTAGTCGAGGATCTGTATGCGTGTCCACAGTGGGAAGAATCGCAGCCTGCGGCAGATCGTCTCCAAGAGTATGCCTATTCTAATTCGGCGTCAGGGCTGTCTTCCCTTGTCGGCTCACTATCCATATTCGTCCACGATGTCACTCATGCTGACTCTGATTCCAGAGAATGGGAGAAAGAACTGTCGACCAGGAAACCTAATTTGTTCCGGGCGCTCTGGCGGATGTACGGGAAACTGTACCTGGGTGTGGCAGTTTTCGTTGTGATTGAAGAATGCATTAAAAACGTGCTGCAGCCAGTGGCGCTCGGCTGGCTAGTCGCGTACCTGACCAATCCGGACGCATCACCTCTGACTTACAGCGAGTTTGTACTTTGCGCGGCGTTGGTTTCGTTCCTGGGAGGGGCCCACATCTTCACGCATCATCCGTACTTTTTCAATATGCAGAGAATCGGTAAGCGCCCGAGTTTCGCGATCTTCCCACTCTGCTCGTACATTCATGTCTGTAGAAGTCTCCTCGTGACCTTTCGATAAAAATCCAGGAACGGGACAATCAACACCGAATATCCAGAACGCTGTCTATCGGGTTATATGAGTCTAGGCGTTTTGAGCCTCGAGGGCACGTCGTCGGCGCCGACTTAACGAGCGATCAAAATTTGAATGACCAGCTCGCTGCCACTTTCGAATATAAATATGTAGGTACATCGATGCTCCTTTGCCGACGAGCGTTTTCGCGAGGAAGGCAGCGGGCTGGAATAGGCAGGAGTACGGGGAGTACGCCCCGAGATTCATCGCAATGCAACTTCGGCGTTTTCCGAAGTTTCGACTTACGCGGATACTCCTGTCTCCGGAGACTTCTGCCAACCGGTTTTCCGACGGGAGAAGAAATCATATCTTCGAATAGAACGCGGTTTCTCCCCGATCGTCTCCCGTTCTGACTCCGTAATCGAACGGGATCTCGAATCCCCCCACATCGGAAGTTCATATTCCGAGGCTCATGGGGATTAATCTGAAAATTTTCTGCCCTTCGGCTCCTTGCAGGCATGCGGGTACGAGTAGCTTGCTGTTCGCTGATGTATCGGAAGTGTTTGAAGCTGTCACAGGCCGCCCTCAACAAGACAGCTTCCGGCCAGATGGTGAACCTCATGTCCAACGACGTGAGGTATTTCGACAGCTCGGTACTCTTCATTCCCTACTTGATTGTCGCCCCTCTGCAGACACTTATCATCACGGTTATTCTGTACAAAGAGCTCGGTGAGTTCAAAGTTCGGCGCCGAGAGGCCGTATGCGCGAACCTCGAGGGAATTTTTGTCGTTTCCCGCTGTTCTTTTCCTTACGCGTGTCATGTCATTGCGTGGCAGGTTGGCCGAGTCTCTGCGGAGTTGGATACGTTCTCGTTTGGGTCCCGTTCCAGTACGGCATGGGGAGGAAATTCGCGAAAATTCGCCTGCAGACAGCCGAGCTCACCGATCGACGCGTACGGCTGACAAACGAGTTGGTGGCCGCGATGCGCGTCGTTAAAATGTACGCTTGGGAGAAGCCTTTCGGCAAATTGGTGTCGGACGTCCGCAAGTTGGAAATCGGCCGAGTGCGAATAGCTTCGACACTGAAGGGAATTAACATGGCACTGTTCTTCGTCTCCTCGAAATTCGTTCTATTTTTGAGCTTCACGTGCTTCACGGTGATAGCCGGCGGAAACCTCACCTCGGAACGAGTTTTCGTCTGCCTGGCGCTCTTCAACTCTCTCCGGCTCGCGATGGGCCTCTATTTCCCTTTCGGCATGAGTCAGGGAATGGAGACCCTGGTCTCGATCGGGAGAATCCAGCGCTTCCTTCTGCTGGACGAAAAGCGGCTGAGCACGATAGCTCCATCTCGAGACAGAACGACGAACTCATGCTGCGGATGAGCGACGTCAAGGCGACGTGGACCGAGCTCGGCCCCCCGGTTCTCAACAACATCAACTTTCGTATCCGACGCGGCGAACTCATCATCGTCGTGGGACCCGTGGGCTGCGGGAAAACGTCGCTGTTGATGTCGATTCTCGGCGAGCTACCTCTGCAAACGGGCTGCGTCAAACTGGGCGGAACGGTTGCGTACGCGTCCCAAGTGCCGTGGCTGTTCCAGGCCACCCTCAAGCGAAACGTGTGTTTCAACTCGAAGATGAACGAAAAACGATTACGGAAAGTCGTGGAAGTTTGCGCTCTCGAGAGGGATATCAGCCTCCTACCTCTGGGCGAGAACACTCTCGTCGAGGATAAGGGCGTGTCGCTGAGTGGCGGCCAGAAAGCCCGCGTAAGTCTTGCGAGGGCCGTATACCACGACGCCGATCTATATATACTCGACGACCCGTTGAGCGCCGTGGATCCGGCCGTATCGCAGCACATATTCGATAAATGTATCCGGGGCTATCTCCGCCACAAGGCCGTCATCGTCTGTACGCATCAGCTGCAATATCTCAAGTTTGCCGATCGAGTGCTCGTGCTGGAGCCAGGGGGGAAGCCTGCGGCTTACGGACGCTACCACGACATCGTGAACTCGGGTAAGAACTCTTTCGACTTTTCCTCAGAGACAACGGATCTATCCGCGCTGCTGAGTCTGATCTCTTGAGCGAGCGCTTAGAGGGAGTCTATCGTGAATAACACATGCATGAAACGTCTTATACGTAAATCCGTTTATGAATCGATATCAGGAAAGAAAGGCGAGGAGGCTCAGGTCGAATTTAAAATATTCGACCCCTGAAGCGATAGGAGGGAATTTACACCGAGTAGAGAGGTTTTAGAGAAGAGCCACTGAGGAACAGAGCTGCGAACGACTCTGTTAGCTCGCGGGCGAGAATCTTGAGCGCGAATGCTCTTCATGCAAAGTCTTGCAAGAATGTCCTGAGAGTTCGCTTCGAATCCAGCTCGGGCTAATGACTCACCGTCGCAGTTTCAAGGGATCAACAAACATGTGCTGACCGACGCTTAACTTAATCCCGACGATGACGTCGTTCGGCGTGACGGGCCCGTTCGCAGCGAGGGTATTCCCCTCGTACTCCGGTGCTGACGGAAGCGCACGTCGACTCTGAAGAATTCGTTCTGTATCTCCCGATTCGGCCGCTCGAACGTCGACCGATAACGCTCCCGCAACACCTGAATCTAAATCCCGCTAATGCCCGCGGTGTGATTCTCGAAAACAAGCGTTGCAGTCGACAGACATTCCGAACAATCCGAGTTCGGAATAATGATTGAATTCTCAGAGAGCCTCTTGTGACATCGATTCCGTGTGGGATCGAGGCCTCATATTCGACTAATTGTCCTCGAGTAGGGCGAGGGACATTCGTTTGGGCTTCAGGATCGACTCGGGAGCAGACGAAAAGAAAAAACCCTCTTCCAGGGTGAATCGCCCTACCGGGAGGTCTGGCGTTCATTTTTATCCTGGGGCGGGCCTTGCAACGAAAACATCACCGTCGGCTGTAATTCGACCGCGCTCAGCCGCTCCGCGCTCCAGAGTGGAAACGGGCGGTCGCGTGCTTTTCACTACTTCGTTAAGTCATTTGTTCGTACGCAAAAGTTGCGAAACGCACGCGACTGAAAGTTGCTTCGCAACAGTCTGCGATATGATAGTATTCCGCATTCGAGCCATCTCGATTGTGTGTGCGAGTGTCGGTCGGCGCCTACCTGCCTGCTATCTGAGAGGCTCTGCTCCCGAGTACCTACCGTTCCCGTCAATGAGTTACCATTGGGATGAGCTCACAAGTGGTACGTGGACGCCAGCGGAGATAAGAGCTTCCTCCGCAGAGAATCGTTCGCTTGTCCGGTCCTCCGGACTTTCCCCCTCGGCCCACGACCGGATCGACCGCTCGTTGCCGTCGTTTCCGAGAGTAGGATTAGCCTTGCCCAGTCAGCTGGTCGGACGACTATCCCGGAGGATGAGCCGAAATCCACGGCGTCGGAGGCTCGAGTCATATGGAGTGGAGGAGCATCTCGGAAATTAATTGAGCAAACCGCAGCCGCATATCGATGAGCTCGATGCGAAGTTAATCTTCCCGCCTTTCTCCCCGTTCCCAGGTGTTGATGTCGGAGCCCTGGTGGACACTTTTGGTCGGGCGCCGGGCCCGACAACAGCTGGTGACGTATTCTCGATGTCACTGAAACGACGCTCTTCATCAGCTGCCAGCGCCATACCCATAAGTGAGCTGCATCAGGACCCACCTGAAATTACTCTCGCCATCAGAGACCAGCAGACAGAAGAGGGCCGCGGAACGGGCACTGTTTCCGGCAAAGTTTACTGGCAATTCGCCAAACTAGGTAGGCTGTCTTTTCTACGAGCGCGCTCCACGGTCGCAGAAGCGACGTGGCTCGGGAAGAAATATGGGAAACCATACTCCAGCCGTTCATCGAAAATGAATCACTTCCTGTCGGGCTTCGTCGAACGATTCTAAGCGATCAAATCCGTGTTCCAGGGGCCGGATGGCTTCTCCTCAGTCTTCTGGTGATCAGCTCTGTGGCATCGCAAGCCTTATTTAACGGATCGGACTTTTGGCTGACGTACTGGGCGAACCAGGTCGAACAAAAGCTCTCGCTCGACGGGGAAGGCCTCGAACCGCGAGCTCTGAGGTAAGTTCGACGGTGATTCCGCAGGGTCGGGCCCGAAGTCGGCGCCGAACTCGGAACGAGTTACCTCGGGAATCTAATCCGTTTTCGGTTCGAACTCATCAAAGTGGATTACGACACCGTCCCGCCGTCGGAGCCATTCTGTGCGTTGTCCTCGGTTACAGACTCGGAGCTGTCGCTCGAGATTCCGATTCCGCTTCCTTAATTATTTACTACTGAGGGAGAGCGAAGGCTGGAAATTGGAGGAAACGGGAGCCGCGGAGCCGACTCCCGTGTACAACATGGAAGGGGTGGTCCGTCCGAGCGGGATCGATCCGACGGAAAAGTCCCGCGAAGATAACGACCGCGAGTGAAAGAAGAACAACGTTGGAAATTAAGTTCCTTGTGGGAAGAGCCTCTCGTTGGAGACTAGGCCCTTCAAGAGGAGGAACTCACTCCTTCCAAAGCTCCGTCGTCGTTTTCGCTATCATGATCATCTAGTTCGTCCGCACGCTCCTTTCCTCGAGCTATTCTTCCCGGAAACGATCACTAATCGCTTCGATTACACGGTCCAGGAAACCTATGATCAGGGACGGCGGCATCGAAAGGATCCCCCAGTCTGGGGCTCCTGTCCGCCGACTCGTGTTTCAGGATCGTCCCTAATCTCACCAATGCTTCGATTTCAGTCGCATGGCCTGGATATACGCGCTCCTGGTTTTTCTGCTTCTTGTAGCGTCGTTGCTCAGAGCGCTGACGTTCTTCTTGATGTGCATGAAAACCTCGATCCGACTGCACGACGGCATGTTCGCGAGCATTACTCGAGCACCCATCGCGTTTTTCGATCAAAATCCGATAGGGCGAATCCAGAACCGATTCACTAAGGTGCGTACATGTGCTGAGAGCGATCATCGATGCGTTCTGCTGTCGTTCATTGTTCCCTCCACGGGGCCGTGTGACAATCACGCACCTACCTGAGCTCATGCTAATATCGTTCGTCTTATCGCTCGTTCCGCTCGCTGCGATGACTCTGGCAGTTTTGCGAAGCCACTCAGTCCGTAGTTAATAACAACGCTAAACCCATCATGTTCCGCATGGACGGAGAGGGGGTGAGATTTTTGAAGGAGATCGAGCGACGTCGTCAGGGGTAGAATCTCGGTTTAAGTCGTCTGTTTCGACACTTCGTATTAGTCAGGCAATTTTCTCAACAAGTCTTCTCCTTCCAGGACATAGGAGTGATTGACGACATCCTGCCGCCCACCGGCCTCGACATCTCTTTCGTGAGTTTTCCTCCGGACGGGGTGGGGGGAGGGGTATTCTTGAGGAACGGCAGTCGTGCTGGGGGAAGGAGCTCCTCTTCACCCTCCGTCGTCACGTACCCGGATAATCACGCTCTTAATTTCATTCGAAACCATTCGCTTTGAAATCAAAATCTCTCTCCGATTTTCCTTCGCACAATTTCTGCGCATAATAATCGGCACCCCTGCTCGATCGAGATTGGTTCCACGCGATTGGCTCCCGTCCAGCCTTGGTTGTTGATTATTGCTGGTCATTTTTCAGATAATGCTCAACCTCGTCGGAGTGTTGCTTTCTGTGGCGGTCGTTTGTCCGTACGTGATCGCTCCTACCATCGTGCTCATTGCATTCTTTGGCGTACTCTGGCAAGTTTACATGCGGACAGCCCGCGACGTGAAACGTTTGGAAGGTATCGTAGCCTCGATATTTTTATAGGTAGCACCGTAGAACCCCGGCTCGTCAGAGGAGTTTTTTTTAACTTTCTTCGAGCGAGAAAAATACATCCGGCTCACTACTGTCTCGACAGTCTATCAATTGTCCGGGGGAGACGATCTAGCGTCGTGTCCTTCGACTGACGTCAACGGGAACGGGTGTGTTAGCGAGTGATTTGTGCATTATTGACGTACATGGAGCTCATCTAGAAGATTAAGATCGCAGCGCTGGCGAATGAGGAAAGAAGATAGGAGACCGACAGCCCGACGCTTATCACCTTTCGGGCGTTGGAAATTGGAAACGATGCAATCGACCTAATGGCTCCGCGACAATAAATACAGTACGGGGGTTCATGCCAGCATCAAGGCTCACAGCGGAAAAAAGCTCCCGCCGCGCCGTGAGCCATGCAATAAGCCGTAGACATTGACAGCTACCGGGATAGACCTTTGGATGGGGGATCAAAAACCGCAGCCGAACGTACTCGTGGCGAAATTTTCCCCACACAGAGGCCCAAGCTCCCTCGACAAGGTCGAGCCGCGAATGCTCCGGGCGGAAATTCTCGCGCGAGGCATTATATCGCGTGATGATTTCCCCACGAATAATACGAACGAGGACCAGAATAATACGTGTACCCTTTCGGCTCGTTTCCTCGCCAGCCGACGGAGCCGCTGCTGCTGCTTGTGGATACTCTGAGAGAACTAATGCTTTTTACGGGCTTACCTTCCTTGCTTTTTTGCAGGCGTTACGCGTTCGCCGGTTTTCTCCCACGTGTCTTCGAGTCTCAATGGGCTTGCCACGATTCGGGCATACGGAGTGGAAGCGATATTCGAAAAACTGTTTGATCTTCATCAGGTTTATATCGTTAATTCTTTCACGTTTTCAGAGCTCTCTCATCAGCCTCATTGGCTGCCGGCCTTGTACCTCAGTCCCTACCCGCAATGTGGGACATACAAATAATGGCATGAATGTCATAAATTCTCGGTATCACTCCGGGCCATTACTCAGGCTCAGGCCTACTGAATCAAGATGGCGTCACGCGCGAGAGTGATACAGTAAATCTTTTTAGGATAGACACACGTCGGCGTGGAACCTATTTCTGTGTACGGCCCGATGGTTTGGCATATCGCTCGATTTCCTCGCTTTCGCCTACATCGCCATCGTGACCATAGGCTTATCGTTCATGGGAGTAAATGGGGGTGAGCGAGAACCACGTTTCAATTAGTGATGTTGAGCAGAAAATTTGGACCCCTCTGTCTAGAGAGGAATTATTTAGAGGTTCGAAGTCGAGACGAACGGAAATTTTTTCTCCCTAAAGTCGGTCGGATACCGAACCGGTTTCCTTCGCTGAAATCGATCTCTCTGGCCATCAGTTGCCGGGCTCACCGGTGGTGAGGTCGGCCTCGCCATCGCTAATGCTCTCATGCTCACGGGCATGTTCCAATGGGGAGTACGGCAAGCTGCCGAAATCGAATCTCAGATGACCTCTGTCGAACGCGTAATGGAATACAGTAGACTCGAGCCGGAGGCTGCTCTCGAGAGCGAGCCCCAGAAGCGACCGCCGCGCGACTGGCCGACGAAAGGTAGGAACGAACAAGTAACATTCCTCCCGGACCTTATGCTTCCTTCACTTATCGACTCCTTGTCTACGATTCCTTTGGGGGAACGCTGTAATCTGACCTAGAAACTCCGTGACCATGCGTCGTGACCTTTCCAGGAGCTGTGAGCTTCCGCGACGTCAGCTTGCGATACAAGCCCGGACAGCAGGCCGTGTTACACCAGATTTCATGGGACTTACTCCCAAAGGAGAAGGTGGGCGTTGTTGGTCGGACGGGAGCCGGGAAGTCATCGATCATAGCGGCACTTTTCCGTCTTCACGAGCCCGAGGGTGAGTTCAACAATGAGTGACTGGGTGATCGTGGGATGAGCGAGCGAGTGATCAAAGAGCATCGATATCCCGGAAGACCATCGTATCCATTCTCCTCGTCTCGGGTTGTCTTCCGATGCTGCAGACCCGAGTCTCTCTCGACATTTTCCGAGAGTTTCTGGGAGCATTTTGCGCTCAGAACTGTACTAGCTCACTCGCATGTCGAATGCGAATCAGCGATGATTCACTCACTGATCTTCATCCTTCGGAGTATGAACAATTACTTACGATCAGTAGGAGTAGGTCCCTGCTGTCTCCCTGCAGAGGAAGCTCCGGAGGGGTCAAGAGCAAAGGAATGACTTCGTGATTCTCGGCAAAATAAATCTCCGATGATCGGGACTCAGATCATACATTGTCGGGGCATAGCCACGCGGAGGAAACCCAGAGAGGCATTGTCCCCGCATGCCTGCGAATACTCGACGTGGCGCGGGAGACATCGGAGGATCCTGTCGCTGGGACGTTCGGGAAATACTGGCTGGCTTTGGCGGCAGGCACGAGCATGGGCGAATGGGGCTGAACTTCGTCGCCAATCCGAACCCCCGCCTCTCGCACCGGGGACTCGTATCAGGGAATCAATTGGCTCTGCCGTCTGGCAACTCGAGAGCTCTGTTTAGAGAGTAACCGAAGGTGGTTGCCGCAAAGTAGTTAATCACTCACAGCTCTTTTCATTAGGTCCAATTATCAGTGTTAGTCCGCTTTGCGCAGTCTTCATCTCCTTCTTGCCCAGAACGAACCTCTGTTTATATCGGTTGAAAAGAAGCTCAAGGAGTTCTAATTATAGCGATTCGCTCTGAAAGTGCTCCTCAACAGTACCGAACCTTCAATTCGTCCTCAGTTCGACCGATATCCTGATGAGCGATGGACCGATCGACCATTACTGACAACGAGTGGCGAAAATCCACGGATCTCGAAGCATTTTAGACTGAACTCGAGAGATGCATTCGAAACCTCGAAGTGGGGATCTCGAGAGAGGGATATTGTTTCTCGACAAAGACGGTATTCATTCCAGGCGAAATTTTAATCGATGGCGTGTCCATCAAAGAGATTGGTCTCCATGATTTGCGTTCAGCCGTGGCAATCATACCCCAGGAACCAGCCCTGTTCGAAGGAACCGTTCGGCGGAATCTCGATCCGTTCGGCAAGAAATCAGATGAGGAACTCTGGAAGGCACTCGACGAGGCCAAACTCAGGGACACAATTAACGGTTTGCCGGGCGGACTCAGCACAATCATCACGGAAGAAGGTTAGTTTGCCCTGCGCACGGGCGGAACGGAAGCTGTTCATGTGAGAGGGAAAATTCCCATCGTTTCTCTCGGCTTCCGCTCCGTTGCCCCTTTCGTCTTTTCCGGTAACGGAGTTTCTGTTACTTCGCGATCGACGCATACGTTCGTCATTCGGCCGCATAACGAGTTTTGGAGGCACTTTCACGATCGAGGTTGACTTATGACGGGTCCACGGACCTCCAAAGCGCGGCAACAGAAGATTCATTCCATTCGTACCCTCAGACCGCTCCTTGAAAAATCTACCGCAGGTAATAACTTGTCCGTGGGTCAGAGACAATTGATGTGCCTAGCTCGAGCGATAGTTCGGCGGAACAAAGTGCTTGTTCTCGATGAGGCCACCGCCAACGTCGACCCCCACACCGATTCCCTCATACAGGAAACTATAAGACGGAGTTTCGCGGATTGCACCGTTCTGACAGTGGCGCACAGGTTCGTTGTTGTCACGGTGTTCCCCGCTGGAAATTCATGACGCCGGCCGTAGTCAAAAGCATGCTTTCGAAATTATATTCATGAGTTATATCGACAGGCTCAACACCGTTATGGATTCAGATCGTATCATGGTGCTGGACGCCGGACGAGTCATTGAATTCGATAGCCCGCACGCACTATTGAGCGAGCCGAACTCGCGTCTCACGCAAATGGTCGAGCACACCGGCCCTACATCCGCTGAGCACCTTCGAGAAATCGCTCGGAAAGCTCACTATCGAACGTGTGACACGATCCCGTTATAAAGTGTGGCCCTGGTCTTGACACGTTGTCCCCATGGAGTTTCTGTTCGAATTTGATTATTCTAGCTGTGGGACATAAAAGGTCAAAATATGCGGAGACTTCCGAGAAATAGAGGAATTATTCAAAATCTCAATCAGAGTACCCACAAATCTAGAATCGCTTTCTCTCTCTCAAGTCGCCATTTGATTGCGGCTGCTGCCATCGGGGGAACAACGCTGACTGGGGAGAGTGTGTCCTCGGTCGATGTTGTCGATTGCGAGTACAAAGTGGCTCCCTCCACGTTCTGCCCTCAAGAAGAGATCTTCAACGGCCCTCCGGACTCGTCGTCTCGTTGTGCTCGACTCTGTTCGACTCACAATCTTCCCGCTCACAGCCTTCCTCCGTTCTTCCCTTCTTAGCACCCAACCACCCTCACAAGGCGTTCGCTTCCCTAGGTTCGTTCCTTCAACTAAGTGGCGAGCACTTCTGGGGGCAAAGCGATTGTCTGAAGTGTGCGGCCTCCGTCCAGCACGCGGGTCGAATACATTACTTACCCTGTCGGCGGCGGCGGCGGCAGCAGCAGCGGCCGTCGCGTCGTCGTAACCACCACCGAGAGAAAAACCACAATGGGAACGCAATCATTTAGGCAGCGATGGTGGTCTCCGTCGCTTACCGCTCTCGTTTAGTTCAAATGTTTGAATGGATGGAGTCGCACCGCTCGGGAATCCGCCCCTCAAGTTGCAAAGTATCATGGCTCGTCGAGAGGAAAACGACACTCGCTTACGAAAACATTAATCACCGGCAAACATCTTCCTTCTGTTTTCGGATTACACTGACATGAGCTCTCCTGCCCGGAATCCGGTTCCGCGTGCGAAGAAAAATTGCTTGAGCATCCGTAGGTTCGCCCACATTTCCATACTGTAAATACGCTCTTTCCGACCCCGTTTTCTTGATTGATGCGCGACCTCATGTTCGCTAGAGCCGGTGGAATCCAGCCTTCTTCGCAAACATTCGCGAAGACTCCGTGAGGGTTTGTTTTGACTCCCGGCGGGATTCTCCGCTGATTGCCCGTCGAGGTCCGCCGCGCATTAGCGGTAACTGTACCCGACACGGTTTTGGAGGATTCGACATCACAGAATAAGAGATCGGCGGAAACTCCGATCGTTTGTCGCTCACGAGAAGTCCTATCAAATTTCCTGAGCCAGTGATGCAGGCAAGTCAACGTCGGGAGGTCCCCGATCATCATCCGAGCATGACCAATTATTTTTGATGCGATTCCCGTCATTTTGTTTTTGGGTCATGAGTACCTAATCTGTTGCTTGTCGGGCGGGCTCGACAGCTCAGAGGGAGCTCCGGAGAGGTTTCTATTGTTTCCTGATGAGACTGAGGGCTGGGCTACGGGGCAGATGCGAGACCTTGCTCGAGGACACACGGGACTCTTAGAATTGGAAAATCCCATGCCTTCGGATCGGGCGATGCCTGAACTGAGTCCCTTGCCGAGGCAGGAGGCGGCTACCCTTCTCACCCATTCGAGGGAGCACAGACGAGACAAGGAAGCGTTCAGGATAATCTCGACCTCAAGAAAGTCGCAAACACTTCGATTGCCTCGGGAGAAACTTCGAAGAGACGAAGGCTCTCGAACCGGGATCAATATTTTCGCCGTCAGCCGTGAGCCGTCTTACTCCGACCGACGGAGGAAAGTCCTTCATCTTTGATCTTTCTCCGAGGGCCGTCGACGGTGTTCGATGGTAATGCGATCAGACAAGTGCACAGAAGACTCGGAACATGATTGACAAGAGGAGGATCGCTCATAAACATGGAGCGTCAGAGAGCGACGTGAAGAACAATGAATGATTCGTTGCTTGGAAGCATTTTCTCCGATCGACCGAGAGCAGCTCAATCATGGAGATGTTGAACGCCATTGCTGGCTGCGCATTGGGAGAGATACTCAGGGCGCTTTAATGCATATTAATAGCTTCGCGAATTCCTCGACTACACTATTAAGTGACGAGTTCCGGCGCTCGGATGGATGAGTGCTTCAAGATCCCGCTTTCATTGGAGGCGGGAAAAACGTTCGATTTATCACTTCTGGCACAGTCGTATGGCTTTTCGGGGATACCGGCTTCCACCTAGGAAAAAAAGCGCTCCGAGGCTTCAATAGAGACACTCCAATGCGGAGGGATCGTAATTCCGCATGCCGAGGGATTCGGACATTTTTGTCGGGAGCCCAGGAGACAGTGACCCACATCCTCGACTCGAAAACGTGAATCGAGCCCTTTAGAATTTTTAGGGTCCGGTCTGAGACCGGAGCGCTCAACAGTTACTATCGACGAGTGAATCCGGCAGAGTCGAATATATATGTAGCGATGAGCACTTCACCGAGCAAGCGCTTCGGGAGATTTTTACGAGATTTCCCGTCCCGTGCCCGCGGTAAGCGGCTGGCAGAGGAGGAGCCCACAGAACCCTACGCGGTGATTGATATGCTGATATCTGATGATATTCATTGTCTCATTATTTTCCGCTGCGCAGAATCGCTATCCTGCCGAATCGTCGGAGAGAGACAATTGATCGTATTTATCTTCCGATGGTCTCTCATCGCTACGTGCCATGTTCCGCGCGAGCATGCCGACAACAAGGAGATCGAAGCTATTCCATCCTTTTGTTCTGCGATACACGGCCGTTGAGGATGTGGAGGCTCTCGAGACTGCATATCGATCACGTTGGGAGCAATTGATCGATGGAAGACTCAATGTCGCTATCACAACGAATGGACAGTGAATCTGGAGAGCGATCGGCAAGCAGGGAATTTCGTTCGCGGCCCTAGCTCCTGGAGGTTCCGCACGAGCGGAAACATGCGAGATCACACGTGACTTGGATAAACGAGGGAACGGATCACCGCGCACGAAGTTGCGTTCCAACAATTAGACGCTTCCGCTGAGATAGCGGAACATTAAGTAAGGCGACAAACATCCGTGCGTTCGCGCGGCATATAATGAATGGAAACGGCCCCGAGGTGTTTTATTCCTACGGTCCAGTCCGATGGCGGACTTGTCCCTGCGTCGATCGCTCTCCCCGGATGAAGATCCTTTTTGTGTCATTCCGGGCCTATGGTTCCAATTACGCAGATTAGCTCAGAGTGAGATTGTATTCCTATGACGGTCGGTCGGCGGAGTGCCGAGCGTAAGGCGGACAGAAGCCGAACGGTCTGTCCCGGAAGAGGATTGGAACCCAAAACGTGATCTATCCTCAGAAGGACGCTCCCACAAGTTCTCAGGGTCTGGAGGTCTCTGATGGACGGGACTCGGAATCTCAGAAATTCCCTCCGCTGATTCCTCTTCCATGGTGCTCGCCGTCGGGGATCGTTCAGCTCAGGCACTGCCGAATCGTCCTCATGATCAGGATTTAGGTCGCGATTCGCGTGCGAGCGACAGACAGCAAGTTGCTCATCGAGGTGAAGAATGAAACCTTCTTCGAGCGCTTCCCCCAATAGTTTGTCTCCTTCGGGGTTCCGACACGAGGCCATCATGGCGACCTGTGGCAGCTCGATGCGAACTAGGAGACTTTGAGATGAAAGGAGACCTTGTTCCGCTTTGTCGAGGATGATGCTCACGCGGAGGCTGATTTGAAAACATTCGATATCAGTTCCATACAGATCTCATTGCGATAAGGATGGGGAAGCAGAAAGGATCATTCAAATCGAGAGCGAGGCTCGTGGAGATGGTCGACAAGAAAACCGCGACGATTCGCTTCTGCACCGGGTATATCGAACAGAGGAGACCAGAAGCAGGTCCGTAAAGTAACTGACGTTCGCCGAATCAGTGGAGTACCCGGGACCTGATGTATTGTCCAGTTCGCTCGTGCGGCCGCGGAGCTTGAATCCTCCGCGATGTGTTCGGAGTGACAGCCGTTCTCATTTGTCCTCACTCATCGACATATCGGAGGCGCAGAAGTGTTCGCGAACGCCCACCGGAGCGATCTTGTGCGGGAGATGCGGACGCACCGTCAACATCAACAGAATCGGTTGGCACATTAACGTCACGACGGATGAGATTGACGATGCTGTCGCTTCGACAAAGCACACAACAAACAAGGGCGGGGCTAGTTTTGTGATTTCAAGTCGATATCCGTAGGAATCCCTTTTCCGGACTTGTGAACTAGGGCTCGGATCCCCCAACCCTCTAGTTCTCGATTTTTTCCGGCGGATTCCGCTGATCAGCGAATAAGCGACCAGTTGCCGTAGAATTTTGCTCGACTTACGGACATGGTGCCCCATAGTTCCTCTTTGCCGAAAGTGCTGCATCGCGAAAAGCATCACCGTTGAGCATCCAAAGCCACTCTTGACTCGTACGTGCGCTTGTTCGGGTAGAGTTCGTTGACAGGCACAACGGCATCTCGTGAAAGCGTTCTCTGGAGCCTACAACTCGTAAAGCCCGCTGTCTGAGTGGGTCCTCCCCGCCTCGGGATTTGTACATCGACACCGCTTCACATACAAATGCTACCTTGCGAGAAACAGACCCACTGCAGGCCCGCCGGGATAAGCTCCGCAGAGCACTTGACCCCCTGCTCTCACCCCGTTATCGCTCCGATGAGAGCGAGGCGAAGGAAATAATTTCTCTCTCCGAATCTGAGTAATGAGGAACTGTCCCGATGAGACCGATTGCTATTTCGGCTCGGGCGCTTCGAGCATTAGGAGATGGGAGCAAGTCTCGAATCTGAGTTTCTGCGTCCTCTGTCGAACTTCCCATGGAGCCCGCTGTGTCCTGGACTCTGTCGCCGCCCTACTAATGCATCCCTGCGGAGTCTCCCGCCCCAGAGCTTTTTTGCACCCGCGCGCGCGTTGCCAGGCAAGCAGTCGACGTGATATCAATGGTCGCCCAAACGCTGCGCGCAAATGGACGGGCCAAGGGACGTTCAAATTTCGCTTCTCGCGCACGGGGCTGGTGGCAACAACAGCAGCTCCCTCCACGATGGAAACGACTGAGCGAGTCAGAGACAAGGACTCCGCGAACGCTTCAAACGCTCGGAGAGAAAAAGCGGACAGTAAACGTTGTCGCTCTTTTCCGATTGTAGGTCTTCGCTTTCGAGCAATCCCGGCCTCGGAATGACAGCGAGGTCGGATCTGGGACCCTGGTGATCTATCTTCTGAAAGCGCAGAATTCAAGCCCGCCCTCGAGATGAGACTGTTTGTGTGAAGCGGGTGACGGAGATGAGTAAAAGCAGAGCTGTCGAGTATGCTGGAGAGGAAGTCGCTGTCTGAGGCGAGATATATATTTTTTTCATTCCTTCGCGAAAAATCAGGGACCTCGTTCCCACCGCGAGGAAAAAACTGAATCCTCCGATCGCTCTCTCGTTCAACGAGTGAAATGTGGTGTTTGCTCGCATTTAAACATATTCTCGCTTCTATTCAAATCGCCAAATTCAGATGGGCGTTGAGCGGCGTGGATTACGAAACGCCACCTAGACAGTGACAGAAAACCGAAGCGCATTGACGGAAGACTTGGAGAGCTGCGTACGCTTCCAAGGGCCTGTCGACGGGAGCTCTGCTTGCGGCAAGATGGATGCTCCTGAGCAATCCTGCATTCATTAGTTGAATCCGAATGCAATCCTTGATCTATTAACCCTCATTCCGACCGCTCCCAACGCCAGCTAAGCCTCTTCACATCGAAAATAAGCTTTTCTATACCTCGCACACTCATTGCATTGAACTTTATCGAGTTCGGAATCGATCGAAGACTTACGACTCAAGCGATCTGTTCCTTATCCCAGTAGTGAAACCATGTTATCTGTTTATTATTCATGATTTATTATAAGGAATGAATTAGCGATATAATATCTCAATTCTGACAGATAGGGTGAGTAGATGTGTGTCGTCTCATTCATAGGGCGTTCAATTCACTACTGGGGGACGTTTTGAGGAAAAAAAAATAATAAACAAATAAATAAAGAAATAATAAACAAATAACAAACAATACACAGAATTCTGGCGACAGAGGCAAGAATGGATCGTGGCCACGAGCGCCCGAGGGTCGTCAATTCAGCTCATTGAGGCAAAGGAAAACGCAGGAAAGTCGTACAGGGCTGCCTAATTGATAATAATCCTCATTTTGCAGTTCAAGGTGAGACCGATATATTTTTAGTAAAATGTCTGAGGGGACCTTGATCTATTGCTGGACACAGAGCTGATCGAGTGTCGTGAGAAGATATCATTTAGCGACTGCTGCGAGGGCAGCAACGACGAATCGGGTCAGCATCATCAATTATTGCACCAGTAGATTCGTCAACCAGAAACTAGCGCGACTCGAACGAGCTTTTTTCCGAATGAACGCGCACTCAGGTCCGTAGCTCGCCAGTCCTTCAGTTCGTAGCTTATCGGCTTGCAGTATGAATTCGTTGCTTGCGAACGGAGGACTCTTATCTTAAAAGCATTATAAAATTGTTACAAAACCTTCCTAGGACGAGATGGTGTCCGTGTCGTTTTTGAGCTTATCGGCGGAGTAGAACTTGTTTGTCACCGTTTGCCACCGTTTTGCCGCCTCGTTTTCGGCAAGCGGCGATTAGATACTGGCAACCAAAAGCAAGGGTGACCCTGATGCGCTGGCGATCGGAGCTGCGATCCGTTCAGAAAAGATAATAAACAAAATCGAAATCACACTTTTGACGAGGCGCGGCGAAGCCGATGGGACACCGGGGTGCGCTCGAGAGCTCTTGCCTGCAGTCAAAGCAGATACTCCAAAGTCATTTTGAGGGAGCAAGGAACGAACGGGAACGTTCGCGGCAAGTTTTTGGTACCGATTCGAGAAGCGAGAAACATTTACGCCTGTATCGAGCTCTGCACTCATGCAAAGTGCGCACCTTCTGAAAAGCCCGTGGTCCTCGGTGCGCGTTGACGGCGTGCGGAAAGTCCATCGACTTCGTCTCTATGGAGCGTCGTTCGTATGTACATACATATGTATGTATGTGAGCATGTATGCATGCGGAGGAGAAGTGCTATTCGACCGAGGAACGAGTTTTCTCACTTTTTCCGCATGTTTGCCCGGCGCAGTATGCTCTCGACGCCAAACTTCAAGACAGGAGGCGACTGCTCCGAGTGTGTCAAGGAGCTGCCTGATAAGACAAGAGGAAATCTGTCGAGGAAGTCTGCGACATTGCAGATGTGAAAACGTCGAATTCGGCGAAGGGCATGTCGAGCACTCAATCGCTTGCTTCCTTCCATTCACTCTGGCGATTCCTCACAACGGACAACTGTTGTTTCGAACCTCAACATCGGTTACCCCTGAGTATCGCGACCGGTGTCCTCCCACCCCTTGTTGGAACGGAATGTGGAATTCAGTCCGGGACGGGGAGAAGGAGCAATACAAAGCACTGACCGGGGCTAGAAATCAACGGTCGATCGTCATACCGCGCGGTTGGGATGATGACGTCAGAGAGTTGTATCTGTCCAGCGGTTCTCGACCAACACAGCAGCAGCTGGGGTGAGCCACAGCCCATCTGGGCATTGCTCGCCGCCTCACCTTCGCCGCGACAGATAAAACCGTGCGAGGTGTCCCCAGCCGCCAGATCCCGCGATGGCAGCCGCACGCTTTTCACCTGTCCAATTGCTCATCGCGGCGGTGGCGTTATCGGCAATCGCTGTGTCTGCGGGACCCACCAAAGATCCTCAGTGCACTCAGGATGGTCTCGAGAAGTGTGGAGCCGATCTAATTATTTTCGCCTCGGGACCCAAGGTGGCGACGAACGCCGCACAGCTCAAAGAAATTTGCCCGAAAGAACAGGCGTCAGAGAAATGCGCTCGGGACTACAGTAATCGTTGTCTACCGCGACTTCCCAAAGGAATGGTAACGCTGTTCCTCGATGGAGTGAAGGCCGAAGTCAACGGAAAGTGCAAAGAAGGACACGCGAAGAACAAGGAGTACCTCAAGCACGCGACGTGCATGAACAGTCAGGGCGCGAAACTGCACGGATGCATGTCTCAATTGGTGGCCATCCTCGACCAGACAGTCAGCAAGGGAATAACAGGAAAAGACGCCCAGAAGAAACAACTCAAGGATTCGTGCTGCTCGTTCGGAAACATGCGCTCGTGCATGATTGAGTCCGTGAAGGGACCGTGTGGAGCGGATACGTCAAAATACGTGGATTCTCTAATTCAGGGCTATGCCGGGGATCTCCTCGATACGGTATGCTCGGCTTTCCCGATGTCAGATTGCAAAGCCGCGCAGCACATCAAAATCAAGGCAGGTGCACCGAAAAACCTGCTCTCACCTCTAGCTCACATGGTTTCTAGTCTCCAAGCACAGGGATAATCTCACGGGACTCACTCCGGCGGATCAAGTCAGTTCAGGTGGTTCACTTCCAAGCAGACCTGAATGTTATTGCGCTGAACAATCAATCTTCCCGGGGCGCACGAGCGTCGAATGCGAAGTTAGCAATGATAATCACTCGTTTCATATCACCTACCCGAACCGGAACTGCCCAAGTGGTTGGTAATAATTACTCAAGTCGGAACAAATGTTCGAAGTTATGTGTAGAAGAATAAACGGGAAGACTATTAAGGACTTCGATTATGATGTGAAATGACGTCTCCTTGGATTTATTAGATTCGTGTCACACTCCAGGATACTATGCGCCATGCATCGGGATATCCGATTCTCACCAATAAATGAATAGCTCGGCATTCCCTATCCTACAGATCGACGTCGAAATCATTAACAACTCGTCCGGTGAATTCCGGATTCATATCTATTTCTCCGCAGGGAAAAATCGGCAGATCCTGATATTTCGCTGAAGGAACTCCGAAGTGACACTTGACCAGAAATCGCGAGCGCTTTCTCTTTCGAAAGTCGTTTCGCTGGATTTAGGGATTGCCGCCGCGGACGCACCCACAGCAGATCAGTTTTTCCGCCGGTCTTGCGGCCGGACGGCCGATCAAGGTCATGGTCGACACCGAGCGATGTCGCCTAAGACCCACCCCATGTTCACAGCACCGAAAAACGTTGGGACGTTCTAAGCATTACGCCAATGCGGTGTTATCCGATTGCCTCATAAAGTTTATCTGCCGAAACCCAGCCACGCCGCGAATATAAACGCTTCCATTAACACTCCTCGCTTTCTCGGCGGGGTTCAAACGAGTCAGGCTGAGCGAGATCAGTCGGCTAGAGGTCGGTTTTCGATAGTCGGACCGAGGTGGAGGAGATAATATCACCCCGCTCCCGTTCTTTGCTAAGCGGGGAAAAATCTTGCGGGAAGTTTCACTTTGTGATCCGAGTATCGTCTCCCTTCAGATGTTGCCACGGAACCATGCCGAGGGAGTATTGTTGGGAATGATCTCCCGCATGCGGTCGGTGAGGCTGCTGTGTCTCCGGGAGTGGCGGTTCTGTTCCGTATCTCTGTATTTTGCGGACGAAAAGTCACTTGTGACTCGGAATGGCGTTTGTCACCGTCCCATCGTCGGGGAGCATTACGCGTCGCATATCACGCATCCGTGTTATACATACGGGAAAGTTAATTACAAGCAACGAGCGATGGCCCGACAGCGACGCCTGCCTTAAGTATTTTATGGCCGCTTGTGAGGTCTTATCAGGAGCAGCGAATTCGCCGTCGGCGCACACTAAGTGCTGCCATTCGACGCTATAACCTAACCCAAAACAAGAGCGGATGGCAGGGTCTTTGGACCCCATGCGACATCGCCGCCTGCAGCCCTCCCCGTTAGCTTGCACTGAAATTCCGACAGCTGGCCCAGCTGTTTGTTCGAGGGGAGGAATCTGTTTCGTCCCCCTGAATGGCGCAGACCATACAAGAATCGTTCAAGAAGTTGTTTCAGCTCTGCGTCGATAAAATCAGAGGCGAAGACACGATTGATTCCAGAATAGAATAGACTCCCTTTCCGAGTCCGAGACAGTCCTCGATGATGGTATCCTACGAGAAGCGAGCGCTTCCGACGATAAAAACCTACCACGGTTGGCAGGAAATGGAACAACAAGCCTCTGCACACAGCTCGCCTAAACCCCAGATCAGATTGCCCTGTCTACCGACCACCAGGTAGGAAGCTTCACCGGGTTTCCTTACGGAAATAATTATTCCCGCGGAAACCCCTCAGGGGGCACCTTCCGGCGCAGCCCGAGGCGCCATTGATCTAAAGCAAGGACGATCCAGCAGTGATGCCTTCACTGATCGGACGCTGTCTTTAGACTGAATCGAGGGAGCGAAGGAATAGGTCTGACTGATGAGGCAACAGGTCGACTATTCGCCCGACACTGCAGTTGAGCAGTGCGGTATAGAATCGACTATTTCACTGCATAGTCGAAGCCATTTGCTGAATCCAAAACGAGCTCTGGGCTTCCGCGGGACCTCAAAGAGAATGCGTCGGAACCTCGCCGCGGAAGCCGAAGTCGCGCTTGGGGACGTTGATAGATTTTCTCTCAGACAATCCGCTCCTCCTAGAGATCTCGGAACAAAGACCCGTGGTTGAAAGGATAGACAGCGCTTGTTCCCCCCTCAGGCATGGTCATGTAATTTGTACCAACATATTCTGTTTCCCCGTTTTATGGGTAGGATCGAGAGCGGCTAGCACAGATTCAGCGGAGCCGTCGGCACAAATCCGCTGCCGGAAAACTTTCTCCGCAGCCCGTCGCAACGTATGCGGATTTTCTCCCCCGCGGGCGTGGTACTCTCAGTCGTGTTCGAGCCCCAAAAATCTCTTAATTGAAGTAAGCTTAGCCGAGAGACTCAGAAATCTTCCCTCTGACCGACCCGGTATCCGCCTTGGATCAAGAATAGGAAGGGGCGAGTATGGAACGGATCAGATGTTTCAGGACGAGCTCAACCGACAACACCTGAACTATCCGTTTAGTGCCGAATAAGAAATTCCGCTTTTCCAACGTTTCCTCGACCCGGAGACCTTAGGAGGCTCAACTGTCCACCCCTCATCGGCTCCGACGGAGTCCGATCTGATATTCAGATGATGAATGATGAAGTGATCTCGAGGTTCTTGAATCGTCCTTTCTTCCTGCATAGCTGTTCCACGGAGTCCGGGCTTCAGCCGGCCTGGTTCATTTCTTCGAAACGCGTATCATTGTTCCGGTTTCGGCGAGACGAAACTTCGTCAACCTCTCTGCTTGAGGTTCCAGATCCTTTCGAATCAGAGGAATTCGCAGCCAACTCAGGACAGTGGTCCACTGCCGAAGATGCGTCTCGCCGGAAGTTAGCCGCACGGAGCACGAGGTGGAATTTCATTAATAATAATCAACTTACTTCGTTAGGCTAAGCAAACAGGGTTGTGAAAGTTACCGGGTTATTAAATAAGCACGCACGGTACGTCTCACTGTTGTGGTTTTTCTTCGTGCGCCTCGTGAGGCGGGCGTACGCATAGCATAAGTCTCTCGGTGGTCGCCGCGCTTTGCTTTCGCATAACCCCAGTCTTAAATCTGACTTAGCAGCCATTTGTTCGCGACTTGGACCCCAAGAGGAAAATGAGAAACAGTCTTGATGACCCTAATTAGCGAGCTGAGGTCCTTCGCCCGCATCGGGGTATCTGCGCTGTGAATTTGAGAGCGTTGCTCCTACCCAGGGCGGTTCCCCATCTTCCCTACTCCTTTCTGCAGTTCGATTTTTTGCGCCCCACCTCCTTTTGAGTTTCGCCTTGCCCCCTCCTCCTCCCAGCCCCCTTCCCCACTCGTCCCTCATTCGTCCGTCCCTCGCGGGCTTCGGAGTCTGCCGGGGTTGCGGTTTCGGAGAAAAATGAAAGGAGCTCAGCTACGACCTACCTGGACATTTGGTATGCAAGCAGAGACTTTCGAGCTGCGCGGCCTGAAAGGAGAGAAAATTCAAATTAGTGGCAGATTTTGCTTGTCTCTGTGGAAATAAGGCTCTAAATTACCCGTCACGAACACAGTTACTCCCAGCCATAGGAATCGCGTTCCGCTCAAGTTACACTTCATCCAACTGGGAGAATGCCTCCTCGCTGTGACTTCCACCCGAGATGAAACTTGGGCGAGTCGCTCTTGCATGATTCGGATCCCATGGTGGGATCATGAAGAAATTCTGATGAGAAGTTACACGGGGAACTCTCAGAGACGTGAGGTTCTCCAAGTGTATCGAAAGAAGGGCATTGTTCCCCGAGTTCGGGGGCTGTGAGTCTCGCGACGATGGTTCTTCAATTATCGAGCGAGTCACGGTCTTGTGATCAAGTGATAGAGAAGCTGGAGTGGAAAATATTGAGATATTGGACCGAACTCGCGGCGCCCAAAATGTGCTTCCGAACCGGCGACAGCCTTCCCGCAGAGCTTGGTCACTGATTCCGTCCCCGCCGCAAGTAGTCAGTTAGCGGTATCGGGGATATCGACCGATTTTATGTTCATGTTCTCGAGTCCCTGTCGTGACCGGCTCGATTTCCTCCTCTCTCCTCGGACCCTTTATCAGATTTCTGCTATTGTCAGCTACTCAGAAGAAAGTATTCGATCCAGCCAGTCTGAGAGACCGCGACTGATGCGGTCGGACGTCGCGTCGCAGCGACCATTGCGTTTTGGGGTTTTCAGAACCAGAATTGTAGCGTTCCAAGCTCCTCCCTGTGCCTGACAGCGCTCCTCTCCAATTCAGTCTCGGAACCGAACTAAAATACGTTATGAATCACCCTCCGGGAAGAGGCTGCGGTCGCTGACATCCCGTAGACACGAAGTTTCGCTTCACGCCGCGCCGCTCCGATTCCGGAATTTTGATCAGATCTACCTCAGAACCGCTGAGGTGCAGTAAAGAAATTCGAGTGGGGCCGAGAGCGACTCCGAAAGTTGACTATGGCAACTTTGAGCTGGCATAAGTTCCCTCAAGATCTCGTTTGCGTTTCAAATTCAAGCCGCACCCGCTTGCCCGAGGGTTCTACGGGCGCCATACGAAAACTGCGTGTCTGAAGTAGCTCTGAGTTTTCGGAGCTGGTGGTCCCACTCGGCGAGCGTGCAGCCGAACAGCTGGGCCGACGCCGGGAAGTCATCCGATTCTGGAAACCGTGCCCTCGGTGCGTTCCAAGTCCTCGGTTGTTCACGCAATGAAACGCGGACTGACATCTGCGTAGCAGAATAAAAACAGGGCAGGACGTCTACCTCTTCATTGAGCTTCCCCGACTCTGGATCACCTCCGGAAAGCTCAATTGATTCTTTCCGACGGAGGAATATTTCTCCACCGTATTCCTCCACGCTGTTCCCTCATTGCATGGCTTATATTCAAAGAATCCGGATCGGCTCTAAAAGAAAACTGAAGGACTCGAGGAGGGAAAACGATCGACACATCGGTTTTCCTATCGATGACCTCGCGGACTGGGATGGGTTGCCCTCCACTGTCGTCGCCCCCGGGATACCGCGGCAACATCCTCGATACCCGGAGACTGTCGAGAAAAGGGCAGTCTATAGCTTTTGACTGTCCCGATTTCCCTAGCGAGGTTTTCATCGGAAGTATCAGCCCCCGTTGCTCAGCCGTCTGGAAAGATCCATTCGAGAGCTTCGCCAGTTCCACTCCCGTTCGAGACACAGAGATCCGGCGTCAAGTTCAATTTCTAAGCGTCGACAAGTCTCGTTTTCGTTTCTACTCCTCAGAAAAGTGACGAGATGTGTCCACGACTCCTGTGCTCGGCGATAGAGAAACTCTCTTCTCGAAGTTAGTGGTGTTGACCGCGACCGGCTGAGCCTCTGACCAAGCGTATAAGTCACTCGAGCATCATTGCATCGGTTCCTCGTGGCCTCCCGTTCGCAGTTCCTCCCCCTGCCTTCGCTCGGTTTACTCGTCGATATTAGGATCGGAGTCCGCCAAGAGGAGCAAAGGTCCGCCGAATTCGTGGTGTTAGCTTTGTTCGGATCGTATTCAGATGCCTTTGTGTGCCCCTTCGGCACAGGCGTTTGTCAATTGAGACATCTCGAATCGATGCCGATCGGCTGCCGAGGGCTCTGTGATTAATTTGTAATTCAGCGAATTTAACGGCGCTGCGTGAACGTCTCCATGATTCACGAGATGTTTGGTGGTTTATCGAGAAAGTCGTTAGACGCAGTTACGCTCAAGGCGTAAAAGAATGCAAAGCAGATTGTGAGAATTCTCCTCGCTGGAAGCGGTCGTCTCGGCGTTGAGTGGGAAAACGTTCTACCCCGGTGCCGGCGAAAGAGGGTTTTCGCGTTTGCTTGCCGAAGCAAAGTCTCTCGTCAGCTCGGTGTATGCGGCTGATTTTTCTCTTTTTTGTTCAAAGCGTTGAATGCACGGACCAATACGGAAACGGATTGAAATTCAAATCAGGTGAGTTTTTTCCTCGGTGGTTTGATTGTGATCTTTGCTTTTCCTCTCCACCCTTGGGAATTCGAGCGATTCCGGTGATTCTTCCTCTGTTTTCATTCCCTCCGACGCTGTGACGAACCTTTGCATTTATTCTGAGTCCCGAGGGAAACGGCGAAATACACGTACCCTTAGACAAGTTGCACTGGCTGGCAGACTCGGTCGAGATCCGCGCCGAACACTCGCTTCAAAGTTTTGAACCTTGGCGCATTTATTGGAATCTCGCAGATTGGATAATGACGTGAATTTTTCGGGAGATATCACAGCACAGCTTGAAGGCTCACCCGGGCTCCCGCGCTCCTACTGCCCGAGAAATGCGATGAAAACGCTACACCTGAGCGGACTGCTCCTTCCCCCGATTCGGTAGGACATGGGCGTGAAGCAAGCTCCGCTAATCCCCGGGTCGGTGTCCGAACTCCTCGTGGCATCGAGACACATCCTCGCTCCCATCAGCTGTGTGTTCGCCTTCCCTTGACAACGTACAGACCTTGTTTCCCGACTTGGCCCAGACCTCGTCTGACAAAAACTTGAGGCTCGAGCTCGGGTGCTCGCAATGAAATTGCTACATTCAAGCCTCACTCAGAATGGAATCGCGAGACCGTGCTCGAGTTCGTCGGTGCCAGTCTTCGTCTTGCATCTCACAGTCCTCTCCCGTTCCGGGTGTGATCAGCGGGACCGTGGATCACCTCTCGCGCGTTGCGAAATCAGCGTCAAGTGATTCGCATCCTGAATACTCAATCTCAGTGGGGAAAAAGAGTTTCGGCTGGGAGTGGGAGGATATCATATGCAGGTGGCTACCGTTTGATTTCGGGTTCCCGGGAAATAATTGTCCTCTGCTTCTCCAGAGCTCGTGAAAAATCATCCGAAACATTCCGAGAGCAGATGCCTCGGGCGTTGTGATCTCGAAAAGGTTCCATCCGCTCCATTCATGTTCTCGATCTCTCTCCATCGAGACGACACTGGCAGTGATGAACGATAAAGGATGCCACAACGCTTGATTCTTCCAGACGACCCTCCGCCAATTGACCCACGGTAGAAAAAGTCTCCGTCAACATGGCTCATCAGCTGCCCGTGATTTTCATTATCTCGTTCCTTTTCGGTTCGACTTGGTCCCGATGTCCCAATGTGGCACCACCGGAGTACCCCTCGGAGCTCGGCCAGGTTCGGAGGGAGCTTTTCCCGTGTCTAGTCGATTTCTCCTCAGCGCGTGATGGAAGCTGGAGTATGCTAAATGAAAATTTAGTTTTTCACCAGGAACGGTCTGCGGGTGAATCTCGTTCACGTGGCGCGGAGCAATGCGGATGATGAGGAACTCTACGACAGTGTTTGTCTGGAAGCGAGCGTGAACAAGAAATCGGACAATCAATACTTTCTCAACTACACCTACAAACAAATCAAAGGCTTGTGAGTAGACCCGGATCAGACGACGTTCCTGATTACCAGGGAACGAAATCGAGTCGACTGGATGAAGGCCACTCAACCCCGAATTCTATCGCTGCCAAAAGTCCATTCGCGACTTTTCCAATCAGGAGAAGGTCCACGAAATATGAGCGGCGCATTCAGTCACTCGATTGCTCTCTTGGAGGATGTTTCGGCTGATCATCCAGTGACCTGACGATCATCAGACGAGGCCGAGCTAAGCTTAGACTGTGTTCCAGCGTCAACGTGACATTGTTCGACGGTGATGTGCCTGATGACGAGGCACGTCTCGTGCAATTGGTGCCAGAAGGGAACCTCTTGGCTGCAGTACAATGCAACCCCCAGGAGCGAATCCACGGTGAGACGCCCTCGATTCCCTCGATTCACGCCATCGAAACCTCATTACGCCGAAGTAGCTGCGGAGCAGGATGTCTTGAAGTCACTATTCCGCATCGGGAGCTACTTTCTGCGAAGGAGTTCCTACTCGAGTCCGATGCGATTTCATAACGATATACATGCCCGGAGGAAATCGAGTGCTTTCAAAAGCTGCGGTGCCCCCTTCCTCCCTTAGCCGTCACCGGAATATTGGCATCGGCGCTAGAATTTGAGAGATCCGGCCCCTCCTGGTTTGCTAACCCTGATAACTGATGACGCGCTGTTCTGGTGGAATGACGATGAATTTTCTCAATTACAGTATTCCTTGGCCTTATCAAAAACGTAGTGGGGTCATCGTGTAGGGAATCTTTACGCACCGTGATAAACAGGTAAGTCGGGACAGCGTTCACGGGACTCTCACATCCGAGGTTCGGTCGGGATTAGGGAATACTACCGAGTTGGGAAGATATCAGAAGGGTTGAAAACTGTGGTTATATCATAGATACCACGCGGAGAGCCGGGAAGACCTCCTCGAGGAGCCGCGGAATGTACGAGCTTTCAAAACTCGCTCCCAATGAGACAATCGAATCAGATTTGAATATCGTCGACGGGGTGGAACAGTTTTCGCCCTCGTCATGGCGAGGGCTGGAGCAGCGAGCCTCGTCCGAGCTCTCACCTCGGTTTAAGAGGATTCAGGCACTCGCGATCAGAAACGCTCCCAGTGCAGGACTCCAGTGAAAATCAGACGGATATCTGTCGTGGATATTCTCGGAAAATTCCTCATCTCCTCAATAGGGGGAACCTTCACCATACGTCGAGATCCTACTTGCCACAGGAGCTCATAAACGTTCCCGTCTTTCCAGAGCGCACCTTGCAGCGGGCTTCAGACCTGTGAAGAAGTCTGAACGCGAGCTATCGCGGAGTATCGCCCAATGTTGCGCCACGCACTGACTATGAGTTGTAGGGGAATTATTCGAATAGCGCTGGAGCCGAGAGAAAACAAAGGCTTCAGATCAAAATTGAAGCACTCTTCGAGCACCTCTAGGAGATGATCAAGAGAAACGAAAACAAATGCGCGTCCAAACGAATAAAAGTAATGGATTGAAGCTTTTTAGATTTTGACATTTGTTCCCATCTCTCAAGCCTAATTGAACGTCAGCGTTCGAGAGATCAAGCCGAGCGACGGAAATCGTTCCAATGCTCACGAGCCGACGCTGATCGTTCCCGCTCTTCCCCACTCGCAAACTCAGCTCCGGCGGCGCCCAGCGCCGTGCCGGAAGTTCTTTCGAAGGTATTTTCAATATCCAGAACCGAGCACCGCGGCCGCTGTTAACAAGGAGTTGCGCCGCTATTGGACTTGTTTGGGACATGTGTTCGGAGCTGTCGCGGCCGGCGTCAGGAAAAATTCGGAGAGCAGCGGTTTGGGCCGAGGGCATGGGAAGGTGTTTGCTTCTTTGTTTGTCTGAAAATCTGTCCACAGCAGCGGGCGCTCCGCGGTGTTCCGGGGGTGTTTTGACTGCCTCGGTGCGGAGAGAGTCGAAAATTTCCCTCAGCTCTCGCCGGCGGGCTCTGCGACCGGTGCGCTCCACCTGCTACCGCGTTCTCGTTTCGATTAAACTGGCGTCCCCGCTTCTGACGATGTACGAAAAAACTTGCGCGTGTCGCCTCGGACCAAAGCGAACAACAGATCATAAGAAATAGATCAGGCACAATACGTCAGATCGCGATGCTCTTCCACCCAGGAGCACGACCAGGCTCGACACGCTTCTCTGGGACACTGATCCCGGCACTCGACGCGCCCAGTCGACGTCGATGATCAAGATCTATCAGAGAAATTTTGACGAGTGGAGGAAAATACACAACACGAGCTACTCCAGGGGGAAAGGAGCCACGTCCGACCAGATCCGTCCTTTTTCTCCGAATCCGTCCTTCTGGCTAAGCGATGAGTACGGAATGCACTCCGAAGCGTCGAGCAGTGGGAATGACGCTCTCGCGACGCAGGAAATCGTTGAGAGAGCGATGTTTATGCGAGGCCAAAGTTTGCTGGCAGTGCAGTTTTTAGCGTTGCTGGAGTCAACAGCTCTGCCAGTGACTTCTGCGGAGTATCTCCGATGATAAGTCAAGTGTGATCCCGGAGGGAAGGAAGAAAGCGGAGCGAGCTTCTCTAGCCAAGGAGTTCCCGTGGAGCGAGACAATGCGAGCGACCGTCAGCCGGGGCTCGTATTCTAGCGAATTGTTTACGGCAGTAAAGATTAGCCTGAAGAGCGGACTGCTGACGATTTTCTCTCTCGATAGCCTCTAATGGACAAGTCGACTGAGCCGGCGAGCGCCGCGTTCACGTCGGGCTCAATCGTCCGCTCGTTCGTTCGCCCGTCGCTGCTCGTTGGCTTGAGCGAGCAGACGCTGTCATCGAAAGCGTGTCCGTGTCATTCCGTTGTCACGAGTGTGTGGAAATCGGTGCTCAGTTGACACGGTTCCGAGGACGACTGGTAAGGGTCAGTCGCCACTCGCAACTTTATTCGAGTGTCCGAGTGGTCCGACGGCAATCAGCTCGACGAAATCGACGTCGTCGTCGTCAATAACAACAACGACGACGAGCGCGCAGCCGTGAAGGGAACGCGTCTGCATTTGACAGCGTTGAGCGAAGTCCAGGAAAAAAGTTTCGAGCCCCCTCAAGAGATCGAACGTGGTGAGTAGTCGTAGTATTTGTCAATTAACATTAAGAGATCATTCGGAGAAAGCATTGAAATACTCGCGCCTCGGCGCATTCCAATCACCCCCTCACTCTCAATAAAAACAGAGTTGATCGAACTACGTTACGCATCGTCACTCTCCTACTGTGCGACGCTAAAAATTCATAAAAGTAAGTGTACGACTACTCAAGACCAAGAAATAACATGGTGCCGTGACAAGGAACGAATCGTGCCTACGTGGGGAACTGAATTTCATCAACGTCAACCGCAAATCCCCCACGATGACTGAAAGAACTCAACACAACGCAGACAACCTGTCCGATCAAACGGTCCAGCAGAAAGTTCTCGACGAGAAGACCATAAAGAAAGCACTCAAGAGAGCCCGATACAACAGAACGGTTCTTCGCAACCAAGTGAGAACGGAGATTTCCTCAATAAGAAACTTGGGTTCGAGTACGCCGGAATTTCTCGCTGACCGTGGTCCGGGAATCGTTCTCGCTGTCATCGGCGAGCTCAAGGCAAAAATTAATGCCTGGGATGACGAGATCTGGAGCCTACTCGATGACGACGGTCAGCAGGAGAAAGAATTGGCTGAGGCGTCTCAGTTCGACCTGGAGATCTCGGAGTCTGTTGCGAAGATAACGGTAAATCTCCCTCAGCAAGACAGCAGCGGGGAGGCAGAAACCTTCTATTCGACCCCGTGTGCAAAAAGAAGAGTCCGTTTCGGATCGGTGCTCAACCAGACGGCGGGCGAAGCCAGTGCTGATCAGCGAGCGTCGGAGCCGATCGAGGAAAAATCCCCGGTCAGTACAACAGATTCCGTCGTCGGTGGTTGCTAGACTTCCGCGCGAACTCGACATCTCGCCTGAAACGTTCTCCGGTGACCGTCTAAAATTTCGTTCGTTCATCACACAATTTCGGTGCTTCGTAAACAAGAGACCTGATGCCGCACCGATAGAGAAACTCATGATTCTTCGAAAATATCTCAGAGATGAGCCGAAGCAAATCGTGGAAGCGCTCGAGCTCACGGATGCGAATTACGAGGTCGCACTGACGTTACTTGAGAACAATTACTCCCGTATCGAGACCGAGACCCAGAAGATTCTCACTGATCTGCGCAGTCTACCCCGGATCACGAGACCTTACGACTTCACCTGTGTTCGGAAATTCTTGACACTCGTGCAAGGGCATACTGCAATCCTTGCCGCAAACGGGATTCCGATGGCAAGTTACGCGTTGACATTGAAATCGTCGATGGAAGCGGCAATGCCACCTCGAATGCGGCAAGACTTCAGGGACGAGCGCAGATTAGAGGAAAAATTCCTGCCTGTTAACGAGACCCGTCCTGGGTCCTCTTCCGGTCTCCCTGCGAATGGCATCGATCAGATCGTCGTTGATGTCGAGAAGATGTTAGTTTCCTACGACGTCGCGTTCAAGACCTAGAGGATAGCAAATATTTGGACGCTGCCATGAGCTCACAAACGCTCGAGAACAGGGCAGCTGAGGACCGGAGGAAACAACCGAAAGATCGAAGATACAATTCTACAGTGATCGCGGCGGCGGTCAGACATCCACGGGGCAAATTCAAAACCCGACCGTGTCTATTCTGCAACACTCCGGACCATAACTCTTCCCGCTGCTCCGCCGACCTATCATTGGATAGGCGAAAGGAGATCTTGACGAATCAAAAACGATGCTTCAAGTGCTTCAGACAGAATCATCTGAATCCTACCGAGTGCGCGGGACCCAGCTTCCCGTGCACGAAATGCAACTCGACAGACCATTACGCACCGATGCACCAGAGATCGGCAGTCACAAGTGCTGTTATCGGAGAAACATCTAGCGGTATCGACTCTAGCAATGCACTCTTATGGACCTCATCCGCATACGTTGTAAATGGCGGACTGAGAATACCAATCCGGATCTTCATCGATGGAGGAAGCTCCATCACCGTGGTCCTGCCATCGCTGCGCCGAATGCTCCGAGAGGCCCCCGTTGGGGCCCGTGACCTGAACTTGCAAGCATTCGCTAGTTCGCACTCAATCAAAGGGGCTCCGGTGTTCAATATCCGTCTAACGGGCCCGCTCGACAAAACAGTGGTTGAGTTTCTCGCCCTCGAACATGATTTCGGAGTTCATCCACCGAACGTCCGGCCTCGTCACGTATCGGAAGCTATCAAGAAATTCGACAGGGAGCACCCGGTTGCAGATAGAGCCTACATCGGCGAATGGAACGATTCGCCACCTGCTATCCTCGTTGGCATGGACCAAATTCACAAGATTGTGACACGCTCTCAGCTTCCCGTGACTGTAGTTGACAACATCGTCGCTCAACACAGCCGATTCGGATGGCTGATCGGCGGTCCTACGTCAGGGGAGGTACGCGTCGGCGCAACGGTCACTACAGCGCATGTGATCTGCTGTTCAGCAGCAATGTCCACCGATTCTCTCCCAATCTCTCCAGCAGCGAAAGCGCTCCAGACCCTCTGGAGTCTCGAGTCAGTCGGTATCGCAGAAGCTCCGTCTTCCCCGCAATTGTCCGCGGATGAAGACTCGGCGATCAGACAATTCGAGTCAGGACTCACTTATGAAAACGACCGCTACGTAGTAACATTTCCGAAGCGTGAGACGATATGCCTACTTCCGAACAATAGGGCGGTCGCGCTCAAGAGGCTGGAACGGAAGCTGTCACAACTCGAACGAGAACCGTCGAAATATCAGAGATACCACGAGGAGATAATGAAGTTTGTACACGAGGGCCACGCATGCGAAGTCGGCCCGAGCGAGTCAACAGGGCCGTCGACGATCGATGGAAGCTATTTCATGCCCCATCATGAGGTCATCACTGGGTCCGGACCTTGGGAGAAATGGCGCATTGTATTCGACTGCTCCTCTAAGGATGCGGGTGCTACCTCACTCAACGACCATCTCCTCCCCGGTCCAAACCTGAATCCAGAGCTGGTGACTGTGCTCCTGAACTTCCGTCTTCACCCCGTGGCCGTCTCGGCCGATATCACCAAAGCCTATTTGCAGCTGGGTATCCGCGACGAAGACCGTTCGCTCTTCAATTTTTTATGGAGAGCACCAGGTGAACGTCTAGTCAAGGTGTTCCAGATGACGAAGGTTATTTGGGGAGCGACGTCCTCGGGATTTTTGCTGGCCGCTACGGTACGAGAGCACTTAAAACGGAACCCTCCATTGTGCCAGGAGCTGGGAAACTTCCTGTACGCCGATGATTTCCTTCAGAGTTTCAAAAACGACCAGGAAGCAATCGCATTCACAGACGACATGAGGAAGACGCTCGGAACCGCTGGAATGACATTGGCCAAATGGAAAACGAATTCCAACGCGGTCACAAGCCATCTTCTCAACACGGGGGTTGACTCCGCCACATTCGACCGGGGCAACAGCGATGTACTGAAGGTACTGGGTCTTCTGTGGGAGCCGTCTACAGATGTTTTCCGCCTCGCTACTTCAAACCTTCGCAAGAACTTCGACCTGAGGACATCATTGAGTAAACGAGCTGTCCTCAGTACTGTCGCCTCTCTATACGACCCGTTGGGGTGGCTGATGCCATTCACCATACGCGGCAAGATCATTGTTCAGAGGATGTGGACCGCAAATACCGAATGGAGTCAGACAGTATCCGATGAAATTCGGGGAGACCTCGTCCAGTGGGTGTCCGAGGCGGAGACCTTTGAGCGTTTCGATTTCCGACGGCGATACGATGGAAGTCGCGAGAGTCCAATCTCCTACCGTCTCCATCTGTTTGGAGACGCCTCACAACTGGCGTATGCTTGTGCCGCCTACATCGAGTGCCGTTTCGCCGATGGAACATCGACCTTCTCGCTGGCTATGTCAAAATCAAGGCTGGCACCTCGCGATCAGGTGTCTCTACCTAGACTCGAGCTCCTCGCTGCACTGATTGCAGTCCGGTTGAAAACATTCCTAGTGCAGAGAATGGAGGTTCAGTTCGAGGCCTTTCGCTTCTACACTGACTCTACCATCGCCTTCCACTGGGCAACTTCTGCGAAGCCTGGCGGTTGGAAAACCTACGTTAGCAATCGCGTAGCGGAGATCCAGGCAAGCTCGAAGAGGGAAGACTGGTTCCATGTCCAGGGAAGCCGAAACGTATCTGATCTCGCTACTCGGGGAATCAGCGCTCAGGTTTTGACCGAGTCCGCGGAGTGGTGGTACGGCCCGACTTGGCTCCGACTCCCGTCAGCGAGCAACCGCTGTCCCAACCATCAGCTGTCGATTCTACTTTCAACGAGGTTCGGAAGGAGATTCGCTCGGTCGCTGCACCTCTTGTGGGTACTTATCCCGTGCCTTTGCTCGATCTCGAACGACATAGTACCGCTGGTCGCGCGATACGAGTGCTCACAAATGTGCTCCGGTTCAGCCTGTTGGCTCGCAAGCTTCCGCCTCAGGATTCAATTACTCTTCACCGCTCAGCTGAGTGTCATATCATTCGCTGGACTCAGTCTCAGTATCTCCGGCCGGAGCTCGACGCGATCCGAGTCGGAGAACGTGTTCCGAGAGATTCGAAACTTAGCGCATTTGATCTGCTCGTCGATGAAAACAACTTGCTTCGCATAAGGACACGATTGGTTGAAGGACTACACTACACATTTGAAGAGAAAAATCCTGTTGTGATCCCTGGTAATTCTCGTCTCGCAGTGCTCCTCATCATCGATGCTCACCGAGTTAATGCGCACTTCGGGGTTTCGACTGTGCTGAATCAGCTTCGAAGGAGGTTCTGGATTACTAGAGGCCGGCAAGTGATCAAGTCAATCCTTCGACGATGCGTTGTATGCCGTAAACGTCACGCGGCGCCTGCAACCCAGATTGAGGCCCCCCTGCCGCAGTCCAGAACCGAATTCCGAGCTCCTTTCGGTTCGACTGGAATCGATTTTTGCGGACCGTTCCACGTGCGTCACCGGCAAGGCACACAGAAGGCGTACGTCGCCGTCTTCACTTGCATGGCGATCCGCGCCATTCATCTCGAACTCGTCCCATGTCAGTCGACCCCGCAGACACATCTTGCCATACGGCGCTTCTTGGCAGCGTACCCGGCTTGCACTTGCTTCGTATCCGACAACGGAGCTTCGTTCGTGAAGGCGGCGACGGAGTTGAAGCGATTGTTCAGCTCACTTCGAAATCCCGCTGCCCAGCAAGAGCTAAATGGTCGAACGATCGATTGGAAGTTCATTTGCCCTCGGTCCCCCTGGCATGGTGGATTCTACGAACGCGTCGTCGGCATTTTCAAGTCCGCCCTGATCAAGACACTGGGACGAAGCCTCGTCGGCTACGAAGAATTACGAACCATCTTGTGTGAAGTCGCAGGAGTTATCAACGAACGGCCATTGACGTTCGTTTCTGCAGACCCGGATGAGCTGACCGCTATAACACCAGCACAATTCCTCCGAGGAGGACCCGATTACCCCTCTTACGCTAGAGTTCTGCCCGTTGATCGACTGCGAGGCAATGAGGTAGCAGGCGCTGACGAACTCCGGCGAGGGCTTGCTAGCAGGACCACGTACTTTAAAAGCCTGTCCGTTCGATGGTTCAGAGAGTACCTCGCGCTTCTGCGGACGGCCAATACCACACGCGGTTCGCGATGCGCTCCGATCGAAATTGGAGATGTCTGTTTAGTTAAAAAGAAGACAACACGGCCCGCGTGAGATGGCCTTTGGTTAAGATCGAAGATGCGCATCGCGGCAGGGACGGGTTGATCCGCATCTATACAGTAAAATTCAGCAATGGTCGGATTTCTCGCCGTGCCGCACAACTGCTTTATCCGCTCGAGGCCAAAGTCGCGGGAATCTCGACCCCGAGGCTACCGCACGGAGCCCCGGTCGAGGGAAGAACCACCTCAGAGAGAGAGATCATCGAAAGCGGAGAGTCTAGTCATCACTAGTCATGTCCTCGAATTTCATTGTGTTCGTCCGTTAGATGACAGATATCGCGAATCGCTTGCCTTATAACATGTACATATGCCATCCGATGTGATTCGTTCTCTATAACCCTGTGTGTCAAGGAAACGCTAGCGTTTCCGGGGGGTGTGTCAATTAACATTAAGAGATCATTCGGAGAAAGCATTGAAATACTCGCGCCTCGGCGCATTCCAATCACCCCCTCACTCTCAATAAAAACAGAGTTGATCGAACTACGTTACGCATCGTCACTCTCCTACTGTGCGACGCTAAAAATTCATAAAAGTAAGTGTACGACTACTCAAGACCAAGAAATAACAGTATTAGTGGTAGTACATCTGTCGGAGAAGCGAACGTAGCCCCAGACAGCTGTCGACCCACAGCCGCGTTAATAAAGGAATCCCATCTCCTCGTTGTCGATCCCGGTCAATTTCCGCCGTTGAATGCCGTCCCCCGGTGGGAGGAAACTGAGCGACTCTGTGATGGTCCGGGAACCTCCTCGTATCCTCACAAAGCTAGCTGCGGGCTCTGTGGTACTGAGATTGTCCTCTGGGCGGCGAATCAATCAGACGTTGATTGATTCCGCTTACGGATTCTTGAAATGACACCAAGGTAGAAGCGATCAGACGCTCAAACGACGAGCACATTGTGCTCCGATATGCGCTGCCCCAATCGGAAATAGCGAATTCGCGCTTCAGTTTCCTTTTCACGATGCTCGCCACGAGCTCATTGTTGTCTGCATAAAAGAGCTCTCCATAATCGGTGCGGGATCGAAAAGTCGCGATAGAGCGGATTCTGCGAGACGATCCGGTGTCCTTCGAGCGGGTCGGTGAACTTCGCGATTCCCCGCAGATGGTGACCTGGACCAAGTTCGGTAGATGAATTCCGTGATCCGTTCCTTCGAGCTCCTGGCAATCGGGACATCTCGTACATCGCAGAGACTGCGCGAGCGGAGAACGGAATTAAATTCTCCGGACCAGAAATGTGCGAGGTCCAATCTCATCTTGTCTATCCCATCCCATACACATTATAATCGAATGGATTAAATCTGATTGGACTACATGAGGAACTGCCCAAATCCGGAACGGGACGAATCTCTCCCCCGTCGGAACTCGTTCGAAAAGCTGCCGAGAGGAAGAACATGTGTCTGTGTGTCTGAACGTGAGTCTGTGTTTCCTTTCATTCTCGAGATCCTCGAAGGTTCCTCCCCTGACCCGGGAATCATCCCGATCGTTCCCGCCTCGGCTGGATATGGGCACAGACCAACCCAGTAACATTCGAGCATGTCTGCCCATCTATGCCATCTTTCTCGGGGACAAGGATTGCGTGTAAATGGCGGCTCAGATCGAACTGAGAATCGCCGATGAATTTTACTCAGGAGACTCGTAAACCACGCCGCATTCAACGAGGCGGCCCGACTCAGCAACAGTAGTCGTAACAAGAGACAGATCGAGCCCCCGGGACCATAGCGCCCCAGAGCAAATTTCGATCCCGATTCCGAGGGTACTGCGCTACTGCTGTCGCTGACTCCATGTGAAATTTCGTGGCCTGATGGGGAATCGCAACGTACCACATGTTTCAATGAAGAGCGAGTCAGCGATACTTTGTTAATAGCAGTGATTATCAACGAATTCCCCGAGGCTTGCTGGTCGTGCTCCCGATGGGCTCGAAGCGACTCGTCGTCCCCGATACCAAATCTCTCGATAGATAGCACCGGACAGATTCCCAGATGTACCGGGGCAAGCACCGAATTCGAAGAGGACTACAGATTGATGGATTCTTCGCTGTGAGCGCCTACTGAGCGAAAGTCATTGCAGAGCGTGCGGGAAGCAAATGGATTGACTTTGTAAAGCCGAACGAATTTTCAAGCAGCCGAGTGAGGAGTCTGTTGCCGTCAATGCTTTCAACATGTGTTGTTTTGCTGTTTCCCTCTCGAATCGTTCCAACGTGCTTGCAATGCCGACCGATGTTCCGCGGGCTAGCGGTTCGGAGGTCTTGTTGCCTTCGAGCAAGCGAGTGGGCGAGCGGACGAGGATTACATGGACGGCTTTTACTCGCTCGCTTCTATCGCCTAGAAGCCTCTGTAATGGCGTCCGATGCCTGTGGCTGGTGTTTTCTTTTTCCTACCGCGTGAACACTACACACCAAATGAGCTCCGAGCTGCGAACAGAAGCGACAATCGCAGACACTTATCGGAGCGCATCCATCTTTCGCCAAATCGGCCCCACGCGTTGGAAGGACCCAGAGCAAAGGGTAACACTCGAAAATGCTCAGTGCTGCGTTTGGGCGTGGGATTGGGATCTCAGCTCGCTAAGTCGGTCCTTACCGAAACTCAGCATCACCGTGAATCGCAAAAGCTCCCAACAAATGCTCGGTACTTCGGGGGCTACCAAACAGCTGTCGCTCTCCCCCTCATTCGTCAACTCAACGAAAAACCCTCCCTCCGATTATTATTTATCGGCTATGGCTCTGGAAGACTGCCTGAGTTTTCGCTTTTTCGATCTGGGAAGTGGAGATTCTGGCAACGTGGGGGTCGGAGATACTTGAAGACGGCTGATCGGGGATTCCATCGAGCTGTGCCATTCGAGGATCAAATCCCCGGATGTATATTATATCATGAGGAGGGCTGTGCGTTTTATCCGCGGAAAAGAGCGAAATATGCAGGAAAAATGCATGATGAATGATAATAATCAATGACCCGTTCCATTGGCAAAGCGCCGTTCTCATCTTTCCATTGGTGAACGCAAGGAAGCACGGAAAAGCCCCCGAAATAGCACGAAATGCGGGACAAGTGGAGAATTGCAACGTGGATAAAGATCCTCAAACGATCGAGATATGCATACATGCTCGAAAATATGCCTTGCTTAGAACGCACAGCTGCAATCATTATCCTACAACGGATCGTGTATACATGTATTATAACAATGAATCATCCATCCAATTCATAACACGATGAGGCTGTGTCCGATATCGGTCCGACATGCTCAATAGGGAGCAGAACAGATCACCGAGAGAACGAATCAGGACACTTTAGCGTGAACACGGGTTTATACGGAAGCGATATTCTTCGGTGTACCTTCCCGCGTGTGTTGAGGGTCGTCGGCGGTCATGGATAGCAATGATAAGCGAACAGAACGATCGCAGCCCGGAGAGTCAACTCATTTTCCGAGAGACGATTGCGTACGGCAATGCGGGAAAGGCAATCGGGGCGTCTTGGCTAGCATGAGCGAAACAAACAGGAATTTTCATTACAGCCTCCGCGGCTCGACACGATGAAGCTCAAAAAGCTCATCCGTAATCTCATGTCAAGACTCAACCCCAGGAAATGTCAAGCCGATGCAGTTCCGCTCGATATGGACCAAACGGAGGCGAGGAATGGGAAGCGAAGATTCTTCAAACATGTCAGTGTGAATATTATTATTTTTGGGGCACTTGACCCGTCGAAGACCGAGAGATATAGCTCCCCAAAGCGGAACTGTTCCGAATGCTCACACTACGACGCCGACGCTGGCCACAAGTATCATCCTGAAGGGGAATGCGACAAAAGATTCAATATTGAGATAGTGAAAGAGATCCCTTAACGCTGCGTTCTGTTTTCCAGAATCTGCGGAAATTCATATCTAAGCGACAGAAATTGCCGCGTTACCGGAAATTCGACGTCGGGCCCTTGAGTGCAGATGGGGAAACCGTTCGATCCGCCAAAATCCCATCGAGCAATTGTGTCAAGGAGTCCAATGCCAGCGCTCTCAAAGAAGAGAAGAATTCACAGAAGAAAACGAAGAAACACAAGGTGGGATCTCTAATCGCTTCCGGGTTGCTCCACGTGTGCAGTAATCTCCACTTCGATCAGATTTTCTCCCTGGCTGAGCCGAAGCAATTTGATGTCTTGTTCCGCTCGAGAGTCTTCCGCAATAAACTGAGAATGTACTCACAAGCGGGGAAAATACAGAGGTCGGTCCGAAAACACAATTAGCTTTTGTTTACATTCCGAACAAGTGAGGATGCGCCCTGGGCGTTGTCGGCGACCGTCATGTTATTTTTCCAAGCCTTTTTCGGACTGTCGTAAGGCTATCTAATATTGCGAGCTCTTTTCAATGCTGATTTCGCACCGAGCAAGGCAAGCAGCGCAGTCCCGTGCTGAGTAAACTCCGATCCGCAACGTTTAAGCGCGTTCCCAACGCCCAGCTAAACAATTGTCCTCTCTCGAAACACGCTTGTGTCGCGCATTAAATTAAATTCTAATTTGTGGGTCCGCGAAACCGGTCTTGACAGCTCCCTCGTCCAGACGGCTGGAAGCGATTTGAATCCGGGAATCCGCAATCAGATTCATATCAGCATGCTGTATCGATAATCGATTCGTCGGGCTGACCGCGTCTTCCCGGAGGAGGAACTCGTGTTGGGAATATCGCTTAGTCGCACAGAGAGAGGAAAAAAGTGCCCGACTTCCAACCCTCGTGCTGTTGTTCTACAATCTCTCAGCCACATGGCTGAATTCAAGTGCACTCGAGTGGTCGGTAATAGTTTGCGAAATGAGTTTGTTGCCAAGGAACTGCGGCTCGGGGAATCTGAAACTATATGTTGCGCTCAGCCGTCGCAGAAATAACAGCTGTCGAGAAGTTCTGGGAGAATGGAAAAAACTAAACTCCAGTTCTTTTGGCTTTGCAGCGTCTCCGCTACCTGAGACGGAAAGCGAGAAAAGCCGTCGAGTATCTAGCCCTAGGAATCGCAGCTTCCGGCGCTGGATACGGAATGCCCGCCGGATTCGACCCGTCAGCTTTCAAGAGCGAATGCACGGTGTATCCCGAGGTGTACACGCTCGAACAACTGCGTTGGATGTCGAACTACAAAAAAAACCTGTATAGTGTCGGCCACCTGGCCGTCTGAATCTTCTGCTGTACATATTATTTCCATCGTCGTCACGGGGTCACGCTTGTACATTAATATTCATGAGCCCGATCGAATTATTCGGATTCCCCCAGTCGGACAGTGGAAGACGACGAATAAATGCTCATCGATTCCCGGTCAATCTCTGGTTTTAAACTTGCTCATCTTATCGCGTCGGAAGTTCAGCTTTGCCGGAGTCTCAGTCCGAGAGTCAGCTCTCCCGATCCTGACTTTCCAGGTCTAGTCGAACGCGGGCAGAGTACCCCGTCTTTTGCGCTGATTGTAATTGGGCAGCGAAAAAATGGGGTATCCGCCCCGAAAGCTCCGCCATAAGAGTTAGGACGACGATCTGTCTTTGGGCTTTCATCCATCGGTCCATCACTCGCTTTCCGCGGGAAATCGGTTGTTCCCCCCTTCAGCACGTCGAGACTTCTGTCCGGGAGATACTGAGGAGCTCGCGTCGGTGCCGAACAACCGCATCTTTGTTCGAACAATCCGCTACATATAGATGTTCAGCCAGAGAATATCTCTCTGTTAAGCCAGATGGCGCCCGCTCGACGGGTACATCCTCAATTTCCTGGTGCGAGTCTCTATCGCCGGTCCCCGCTAGCTTTCATCTGCGATATCCTCTTGTATCTCGCAGTGGCCCGCTCCGCGCCCGCCTTGCCATAAGGCGGAGCGGAATCCGGACACTTTATCTCAGAACGTGACACGCCACAGGGCGCAACGTGACAGCTTCTGAGCAACGATACGAACCCCGAACGTATTCGGACGAAGATCCGTCCCAGTGCGACTTGCCCCTTTTCAAAGGCTCCAGAAACTATTCATTGCGACGCCGCGCCGTTGAGTTGAGGATCGAGGGCTGCATCTGGGACGGCTTCCATCTGTGATTACGAAAGACGGATCGCCGAGTGGTCGACGTCGGCTCGTGTGGGAGCTTGCTAGTTGAGGCTCACAGCGGAGTTCTTCGAATTTTCGCTGCCATTCCGGGCCGGGCGAAAGCCGGACAACCTGTCTAAGGCCATGGCACGGAAACTTCCGATGCAGCCCCGAGCTTGCGGAGCATCTCTCGCCACTATCCTCAGCGAGGGGAAGAAGGAGTGACGCGGAAGACTCGGGATTGAGTGAGTGCGATACCTCGAGGCAACGATCAGCAGACATCCGCACAGGTCTAGGCGCGCGAGGAGGAGATGCGACAAAAATCGCGGATCCCTATCGGTACATCATCGGAGAGCTTCACTTTCCTTCTCTTCGCTCCATCGGAGATAAAGGCGGAAGTCGAACCGGGATCAATCAGCACCGCGGACTGAACACCAATAGCGCCTTAATGAATTCGAGATTGACGAACGAGGCGAACTCTGCTCCGAGCTCATTTGTATGAACGAGATTGCATTGATATCGTTGGATTTGGGGAGAGCCTCGACGGGGCGGTTCCAACTGGGGCAGGGGATGCGACTCGGCTCTTTTGAGGGACTGTTTCAACCTTGCTAATGAAGGATCGGGAGACGATGCGGTGCGAGACGAAACCTACCGACAATTCAGAGGCTGGCCACAGCAAACGACTCGCTTTAGCGTTTCCTTTTGTTCAGATGAGAGCTGAAATCCATGTCCCGATGAAGCTTTCAAAGCTCCTATTGGTGAGTTCAATCCGCCGCCCCTTTTCGAGGCATCCCGCAACGACGCACCGGGGCCCGGCGCCGCAGTCGAAGCATCAGATCTCCTGCTGACTCTCAGGAGTCAATGGGGTTCGGCAGCGGTTTATGACAGCGCGCGGCCCTAATTTCGATGGGGGCACCGGTGCCCCTTCGTCTGTCTCACGGCTCTGGTCACGTCGGTCGACATTCTGACCATAACCACTCGGCGCCGAACCAGACACCGCGGTGCAGAAGCCCAATGCGATGCGCGCCGTAAGATGGAATTGCGCTGATTCCAAAACCCGTCGGACTTCAAGAGAGATCGAATATATGGATTGCGTTTCAAACCGGCATGCCTGTAGAGCCTGAATGGAGGTCATGTTTCTCATGTTATTGAGAAACATGTTTTCAAGACAAGCATCTTTTTTTTGGTGTAGCAGCTCGCAAAGGGGTGACCCTATAATTCTCAAAAGATTATTCAAGTCTAATTGGAAATTCGACGTATGAATCGATGGTGAAACGTCGAAGCTAGGCATTCGCACGTGCAGTACGAAGTTTCCTAGGAGTATGTTCGTCATTCGCCAGGTTCAAGGATATGCGTTCAGAGACGCTTCCGGGAGCGAAATCCTTCGCTGGACTTATATGAGAGGTAGATGCAGTCTCGGAATTCTGCCTAGTAAACTCACCGAAATTCCAGGGCTTAGGTCCTCGACCGGAACCACTGGGAGTCGCGAGGTATCCCCGTCAGAAAACTGCACGCAGTATCTCAGGAAGAGTTCGGTACCCACAAACGCGTAGAGCAACGCCACCAGAGCGTAGATTCGCACATGCGAACAATGGCATTGTTGTTTCACAGGATCATTGATCGACATCGTGGTATCCCTTGCTGACGCGGTCTAGCGCACGACTAAGGCCCACAGTGTCCTCGGCACGTGTGCTCCGGGGGCTCTATTCGTACCTTCACCCTCCAAACGGGAAGGGATCTTGGAGAGGGCCGAGCAACGTACACTGCTCTGCCTGTCTACTTTCGCCAGTGAAGACACATGCACATCTACCCACTTTGATCTGTGGATCTCTGACTGAGCAAAGACTGAATGTGTAATCGATGAAGTGGGTAAGCCAACTCGGAAGAAAGTTTCGATGCGACGTCCGCCTTTCCCACACAAGTGTCTCTCTGGAATTCCCCGCTCACCGGAGGGCACCCAGGGAGCAAGATCGTGACACGATTTATTCTCGTTATATTTCAGTCAACCGTCATCTCCGATATCGATCCTCCCTCTAGTTTTCATCGAGCATACATTGTACAGATGTGTATTTCTCTGTCGCTCTATCGAGACATCGTAACTCGAGTACTTCTCGAAGCGTTAATCAGGAGAGTTCCTCGCCCAATCTCCTCAAGTGATATTCTCGTGAACGCTGAAGGAGTACAAGGGGTCGAGGTCAGGACAACGAAACATAAAAAACGAGGCGACGAGCGGTTTAAAGTAAAACCATTAGCATTTAGATGGAGTCCGCTTTAGTGGGGTGATCATACGGAGGCGAGCGCTAAAATGAGGCGTCTAGTAGACAGGCGTCGGATGCGAGTCCTCCGAGGAAAGGTTTCAAACACGGAGTAACGATGAACTTTCATGCGGTCTCCAGTTTTCAATTCCCATCATCCGATCTCCACATCCGGGGTAGCGCCGAAGCGATGAGGCTCAAATCGGGGTGCTTGATTGAGGTCCTAGATCCGCTCATGGGCATCGTGAGACAGAAAGTTATTTTATTTACTCGGAGCTCCCTCTCCGCGACAGGACCCAGAATTTACTCGAGAGGAGTGTTTTGGTTCCCCGGGAGTCCTGCGGGGTATTCGGTTAGCCTCTCGCACATCCGGCTCGAGTTCGACTCTCATCTACGGTCTCATGAACGTGCGCAAGCGAACGTGCATTCGCTCTGTTTGTTTTTTTACGAGTCAGTAGCTCAGCTGAAGTTAATGAACGCATGGTTTTTCTGGCCCCGGAGAGTTTCGAGACTGTCCTCCTGTGAAGAGTTCTCTGGCTGAGGCGGATCCTGACTACTCCGGTGGGAAGCATTTGATCCTCTATCTCGAGTGCGGCAGCAATCGATCGTCTCCCTGAACGAGGGAGCATACTTCACTCAATCCTCCCACGGACATTGATGTTCGTTCACTTTTTTCGTGTCTCCGAATTACTGGAATTCCCAGCGTGCTCTCAGCCTCCATCCCAGAATGAGAATAATCCTTGCGGTACTCTCCCTCGTATGCCTGAGCGGGTTTGCAGGAGGAGACTCAGAGAGACCAGACCAGAGTGCGCTCGAGGGATCCAGGGTTTTAGACCAGGGCATCCGCGGAAAACAACTCTCTCAGCCGGTTTCGGGAAACAGCCGCTCCTTCGATGGGGGAGAATCCGACAATAGTGTATCTATAGGGGATCGGCTTCTCGGGTTGAGAGGCGGCGAAAGCTCTTCCCGAACGTTTTACGGCACTCACCCTCAACGATTCGAGCAGCTCATCGATCTCCTCACCATTAAAGCTCGACTGAAAGAAAAAGCCGCAAATTGCAACTTCAGGGACATCTGTGACCACTGGAGCCTTTCGAAAATAGCGGCCAGACACAAAGACCACTTCAGGAAGCTATTGGAAATCTTCGCGACCCGGAAGGGCACGCTTGTCGGCGCGGTCGCTAACGGTTGGCTGAAGAAGAATTGCACAGAAATCTACGACAAATGCTCAAACTTTATACGACTCGAAACTTCTTTAGAAGCAGATGGAACTCAAGTCACCGACTCGTCCGTCGCACCGCCCAGTGATTCCCAAGAAATCCCGAAGAGAATCTTCACTGACGGCCGTGAGGGATAAGATACATCCGAGGTCAGATTTCCATTTTCGCCGAAAGTGTCCTCAGTCTCGCGTTCTTTACAGCCAGTTCGTTACAAAAATAAAAAGCCTCAGATAGAAGCTTGCTACCTGAGACTATCACTTGACACTCGACTTTTGTTTTCTTTCCTTCGGGAGGTATCCTTGAAGATATCGAGCGTTGTTTCGCAACGACGGCGGAGAGCATTCTGGTCTCTAAGGAATATAACCTTCTGTTCGAAATGATTTGGTAGGATTGTGTTCGAGTATGCGAGGGATAGCCACAGGAGGCCGTCGGTCCTCGTTCCTGACATCATTCTCGATCAGACCCTGATTGCTGACACAGGTGAAAACTCATCGGATCGCCGCTTCGGAGGGAATTCCTCGTTTGGAGAAGCTCGGCGATATAAGTAAGTGAGACCAGAAACGCGACGAGCCCAACTCCGCAGCCTTTCAACTATGTTTGAGCGGCTAAATTAGTGGGCCACGGTCGATTTCTCGTATGTAAACAGAGCATTACTCATAAATATGCCTCGCTCTGACCCTCCATCCTTGGTCAAGTGAGAGGTTTCCTCAGAGCTCGTAACAACAAGCCTGGAATGGCTCAACCGACGACTTCCAAGTTTGTCTTGATTCTGGAATCGTTGTATCTAAGTTCTCTCATCGGACATGCATTAGCACAGTCGCCATCGACTCCCTCGAGGACTTCTAAAGTGCCCATAAATCCTTGTGGTGAGCCGGGAGACACGAGTCCTCCGATATCGGTATTGATTCCTGTAGAGGAAAAGTTCTGTAGAAAAATTCTGTAAAGAAAAAAGTTCATCCCTTCGTCATGATTCATTCGCAGAATTCCAAGACCCCGACTACGCGTTCGGAATGACTGCTTGTGCTTGGAGAGAGCTTCCGCAATCGGTGAGGATATTTTGCGGTAGGGAATCGGTCATTATCGCGGTGTCCCCCGACTCCGCGAAGCCCCGGCTCTGACGATCACCAAGCGTTTTTCAGATGACGTCCCGTTTTAATAATCGCTTCAAGGAACTGGTCGGACTCGACGACGACGGAGTATTCAATTTGTTGTGTAAATCGATCGACTATCAAGGAGATGTTCTCGTTGAGGCTTTCGCTCGTGAATACGCAGAGGTATGTCCTATGATTCATCTATTCGCGGTGATTTCTTCATGAAGGCGTATCGATTGAATCGGACGCTCGCTCGCGACACAGCTGCTCTCCGAGACTGCCCAGCTCCAACCGAACTATCGAGAGCCCGAATACAGAAAGTTTGAAGTATTCATCAATACTAGTTCCCAAATCTCGTTTACTCTCGCAGGAGAAGGAGCAGAACTTGTTTCTGGAGACGGTCCTCAAGTGTCACGACGAAGTCCTGGCCAACGGGAACATTCAAGCCTCCGCACAGGTCAAGTCCGGCGGGAAAAAACCCCAATCAGCCTCCAGATCACCGACAAAGAGAAGGCCGACGACGGACAGCTAGCAGCAGTTCTCGGAAGAAAGCAAGCCTGTATGATAGCACGAGCTGCGTCCTCCTCCTCGCATTATCCGCCATGATTCCGGAACTCGAAGCGTAATCTTCCCAGCCGAGATCGATGTATAAATCTGGAATATTTCCCGAGGAATCGCGCCCTCTCTAATCGAGTTCGGGAATTTTTTACCTTCTCGATCTAGTCCTCATCCCCCAGAGCGAAACAATAGACTCTGCTCGGATTCCAATGCGATGAATCAGAGAAATCACTTATTCCGGCTAGCGATTCCTCCTCCACCCAGACTACTGCCGACTCTGTGAGGACCAGAGCGGTTGCCCACCCATGATGAATGAAGTTGGGCTCGTCTGACAAATCGATTTCGCCCTTGCCGCAACTTCTCCAAATGCGTCGCCGCGTGATGCAACAGCGCGATGACGTAGCATGCATGTCTCTCGCTGTCGTTTCAAACCGTCGGCGATGACACCCAGCTGACTGCGGTGGGTGGGACGAGCTTAAGACGAGCGGAAATCTCTGCCCGCACTCAGAACGACTCGTGAAGTCGCCAAACGAACTCTCCGCTTTGTGGTATTGATTGTTGCGCTTCCTGCTCGTTCCGAGCTTTTCCCAACCAGCTTTTGCGTTTCGCTGAGTGAGCTCCGCTTGATCGCGTAACAGCAGCAGCAGCAGCACCGACACCATGAGCCAGGTCAGAGTGGTAAAAGTGTTCTCTGAGACGAACTCGTCGACGTCAAATGCCGGCAGTCAACCCATGGCGGCGACGAGCGCTCCGATCCCTGGCGAGCGTACGGAGCGCAAGGAATACCACAGCTTCGCGGAATTACCGCCGGAGACGAAGAAGTACATCGACGAGTTGCTAGGGTCTGACGCTAGCACCAAGTTCGACAACATTTCGGTCGTGAGCGAGCAAACCACCAGGTTAGAAACCTCGAATCGCGCGGGAAAAAGTGTTCTCGACGCAGCGCCTTCTGAAAACTAATTTTTGAAAAAGGATCGAAACCAGCCTCATCGCAGGAGGTTTCTCCGCGCCGCTTACACATTTTCTCCTCTACCCCGGTATGACGGGATTTCATAAACATTTGGCTTGGTCAAGGCCACGGTCTGCCCACGTTTCGAGCTCGTAGAATCTCTCTCGCGCGAACACACACACAGTCTCTCACTCAGCGATTCAGGCACAGGAACTAACGAAATCATTGCCAAAGTAGAGCAGTAGTCGCAGCCGGAGAACGCGAGCTCTGCTTACCGTCCGTAGCAGGGTCGGTCACGGGCGCCGCAGAGACCTCTTCTCGAACTGAACGAAGCCGACAGGCTCACAGACAAGTTTCCCCGGCTGGCTTGCTGAGTGGCTGGCTGACTGACTGACCGACTGACTGAATGTCTGGGTAACGCGCAGAGTAACGTGTTGATTATCATCGCTGTAACCAGCTGAGCGATCAGTCTACAAAAAGTCTGCAAGCGTGAAGTGAACTGAGGACGACCCGATGCCTCATATCTTGATGCGCGATCCTACTCGTCTCCCGCTCCGGGCTTGAGTTTCGGTCGGATCGTCTCAGAGGAGCTGTGAGAACTTGAAGGAACAAATAGGGCGCCATGTACGATTCTAGGTACGCGCAGCCAGAAGTTCGGGTGGTGAACATCAGTCACAAGAAAGTCGTCGAAGAGAACCGTCAAATACCGGTGATGGACGAGCGAACGATGACAACGTCTCAGCAGACGTCAACCCACCAAACCCAGAGCGCTCCTCCGCCAAGTCAAGTTAAGGTTCGTGTGAGCTCAGGGGGGTGCGACTGTCATATGTCTAGAATTCATATCGAAGATGCTCCGATCCGAAGGAAGCGCGGTCCTCTATATTGAATCCATACCGGTTACAGGAAGAGACAAAAACGTTCACCAAAGATATGCTCGACCAGCTGCCGGAGGAGTGTAAGAAGTATGTCAACGACTTCATGCAAACTCAAGGTGAGCAAGTGAGTCATTCAGACGGTCAGTCTTGGTGAAACATTTCCGGCCGGGATGTGCGCCCATCTTCCCGATGAGGCATCGACAGCTTGTACATACCTCGCTGCCCAAGCGAGAGTATCCTGACGCCAAATATAGCACGGATACGCTTTCTTTAAAAAAATTCGAACTTTCGGTCCGTGACACGTCTTCCATCCGGAAATACGGGACTCCAAACATCAGATCCAGTCAAGTATTCCATGCATTGTGCACATAATTGAATAAAATAGGCTCTCGGGCCCCCGAATGTCTTTCCAGGCATGCAGAACAAAAACATTGAGCATGTGACGGTTCATACCACGAGAGAGAACACGACTTCGAGTGCCTATCAGAACGATATCCCCGATCTCCAGGTGAGAGCATTCCCTCCGTTGAGTTCTTTCCGCATCGAACGACATACCTCAGGAGTCGGCGAGCTTTGAACTTTGAGCTGGGCAAGAGTTTGTGACCGAAGGACGATTTCAGGTGAAGAACTGCCTCCAATCCCACGACAAAATCGTTGTTGAGATCGATGCGGCAGGTTTCCTCGCAGAAGACATCTCGATGAAAGTTTCCGGGAGAAATTTGATCATCGAGGGCCGGAAAGAGGGTCCAGACCCCCGGGATCCGACCACGACGCTCCGCAAGGAGCTTAAAAGAGACATTGTGATGCCGCCAGGCGTGGACGCTGCGCACATTACTTGCGTGCTGAACTCGATGACGGGTCGACTCACGGTCACGATTCCGGTCCCGGAACCCGATGGAGGAGAATACACCATACCGATCACAACTGTTTAAGACTGTCTCCAGAATGATTGGAGCCGATTATACGGTCTACCGTGTGGTGGTTCGTCAAATGCATTCAGACGGTCCAGATAGCCGTTTTATCATCTCGGTGGCTCGAGAGCGTCTAGTTTTCGCGTGAATACGGCGAGGTGGGAACCTCACGTGAGATATCGGAGCATCGAGTTCGAGATTTGACGAATCTCAAGCTCAATCAGAAGGCGCATAACCACATCTCTCAATCGTGTCGCTGGCGTTGCCTAACAGTTGGAAAAATGTTCCTGCTATTCTAGTAAACTCATCGAGATGCATACTCGCACCAGAACCGACTTTGTCCTCTTTCATTCTATCTTCCGTATCGCGACAAGAAGCTTCTGCATCCGCCGGGAGGGTCTCTGCGGGTCATCGATCCGATTTGACTCGAAGTTCATCGGATCAAGCTAATCGTAAGCAGGGGGCGGCTCTTTCCACGGAGCCTATTCCGGCATCGTACACAACGAAGTTGAAACAGAAATCGCGAAGCGCGACTCCCTTCCGTGCAACCGACTGGATCGGCTGGATTGCTCTCCAAATCATGAAGTTCCTCCACGCAGTTCTGCTAGCCGTGTCGCTTTCTCTCGAGTGCGCACTGAGTAGTCCTATCAGGAATGCGCAGAGAGCGGATGCTCGTGCATCGGAGAGCGGCATGAAGCCCGAGCAGTTCATAAAGTTGGGAGCGATAATCCTGGCCATGGTCTATATGATAATTGACCTGTTGATAAAGGTTCTCATTTACTCAATGCTGCAAGATTGTCGGCAAAGGAACCACAAACGACCCACGCATGCTTGATCTAAATCTAGTTTTTGGATGTTTCATTCCTGTGATCGTTCTCCACTGTGTAATATATTTCCGTCAATGAGAATAATGATTGAGTGGGATGATGTCTCGGAATATTCTCACGGCTCGAATTTGCTCATTCTACGCCTTGAATTACATCTGCGTTTGTCCGTCACTTGAAAAAGCCACAACAAGCTTCAGCCAACAACTTTCCCCGCATATACGGAGCTTTAGGTTCCCAAGAAAAATAATCGCTCCTCAGTAGGCAAGCATCGGAGCGGAAAATCGGCATCCACATTCATGAGATCTGTGATTTCGCTCCACCGAAGCGATTACCGAAAGCCTGGCGAAGACGAACATGCCCAAGATAGAGCGCGCCAGCGATCGGATTTGAGCTACCGAGCGTCAGGGAGCCGGGACTGCTCCGGTATCCATTGTCGATTGGTTTCCGCTTGCGCACCAATAATGCAGTCGAACGGAAGGAGCGCCCGGACCACTACGCTGACTCCGGAATGCGTTCATTTTATTTGATGACAACAGAGAACCGCGCGGAGGAGCTGCTCTTCCGTGCACCACAGGGAGCACCTGAACTTGAAAACCTCGGCATTATGCCTTGATCGCATGAGCACGCGGGATCTCTGAGCCCTCAGCAGCTCGACCGAGTTACCACGGAGTGTGTGGAATCTTGGTCCCGGACGAGACGATCGGGAACGCTCTCCGGCACGCGGGAAACAAACCACTGTCCACTATGAGTTACTCAGTGGGGATGCGCGCATCCCATCGAGCCCTGTCTACGATTTCGAATGCCGCTAAGAGGACTGCGGTGCTGCTCTCTATGAAACAAGCGAGAGCACCCCGTTGTCGATACATATCGGCCGCTAGCAAACTCACCTCAGATACTTTTCGAAGCCCGAACCAGAACAAGTTCTCAGGTCCGTATGGATCCGGATTCGCTCGAGGGACTCGAATCATTCTCCTGCCGACTCGGACGGAGGCTCTGGAACGTGATTATTTCAACGACCGATAATATCCAAATGTAGCGGGTGATGATCTCGTCTTCACCTTTACAGAGAGAACGCACGCATGTGATGAAGTGACTGTGGAGCATATCGGCGCCAGGGTCACTTTGTGTGGCTGGCTGCTTTATAAAAGGATGCAGTTCGCGCTCCTAAGAGACGGCTTCGGAGTCACCCAGGTAGGTCGATATTATATCTCAATGGAGAGGGAATCTGAGAGCTTCGTGGTAAGAGAATGCGAGACAAAAGACCGACGGAGCACTTTGGCATTGCATGGGGAAATGGTCTCCTCATGGGTCACTTCATATTCGTAGGTTGTCCTCAATGAATCGCTCTACCGAGTCATCGAAAACGCACCTACCGAGAGCATACTGCGCGTCGAGGGCATCGTACGTATCGAACACTCGAAGGCTCAACGCCTGATTCCGATATTGTGGATTGGTTGATCCTTCAAAGATGATATAGAACTATCTCTAGCTCTTATTCGGGGGACTCTTCGCACGAGACAGGTTGTGAGACGTCCGGACGGGCAGGCCCGCGAGGATTTACCAACCGGTCAAGTAGAAGTTGTGGCAGACGAGATCACGGTTTTGAACCTCTGCAAGGATGTCCCTTTCCAACCCAGGGAGTACCAGAAGAAAACTGAAGCTGTGCGCTTGAAGTACCGGTCAGTACGCACTGTATGCAACGGGTGTTCTTTATTTCATGGGGCAGGTCTTGTATTCCATTCCCTCCCTTCAAGTTCGCGCCGGGCATTGCGAGTCCCATAGAGTCTATGCTTAAGCGCCGCGGCGCTCCATGGCGCTCAAGCATTGAGTCTATGGCGCCGCGTGCCGCGACCTGGATACGGCGCAAAGCGCTATACATGTCTCACGAAGGCTCGACAAACCTGAATGCGGATATTGCCCCATCCAGGTACATCGACTTACGACACGAGGAAATGCAACGGAACTTGAGACTGCGTTCCAAAATGACGAACACATTCCGTCGTCATCTCATCGAGAACTACGGCTTCTGTGAGGTTCGGAAGGACGCAAGCGCTTTCTGAAAGATCCCAATGCGGATGAAAAAGCGAGTATTTTGTATGCCGAGAACTCATCGGAATTTCGACGAATCGCCTTTTACATCGACTAGGTGGAAACGCCGACACTCTTTCGACGCACACCGGGAGGAGCTAAGGAGTTCCCGGTAGCCTGCCATTCTCATCCGCACGAGTTCTACTCCTTGACTCAGAGTCCGCAACAGTTCAAACAATTGTTGATGATAGGGAGCATCGATCGCTATTTCCAGGTAATATCCAATTGAGCGCTCTAGGCCGACGGAAGAATCGCTCGAATTGAATAAAGTCTGTAGTACCCCGGTTCGCGGCTGGTACTCGACTTCGATCCTTGCGAGCTAGCGGAACTCGCATGAATTTTAGTTCTGGCTCGCTGAATCGCGAGAGAACTGGTCATCGGACCTTCCCTTCGAGGGTGTTTCGAGACGAATGATTTTACAGATCGCTAGATGCTACCGTGATGAAGGAGCGAGACCCGATCGCCAGCCGGAATTCACTCAAGTTGATATCGAAATGTCATTCGTAACCATGGAGAATCTTATGAATCTCCTCGAGGAGCTGATGAGGGCAGTGTGGCCGAGCAGCCTACAGGAGTTCCCGAGAATCTCTTACCACGAATCAATGGAACTGTACGGGACAGATAAACCCGATCTTCGATACGACCTCTTCATCGAAGACGCACGGAATCTTCTGAACGCAGTCGCGGAGAACTTGCCGGAAGGTCATTGCATCAAGGCTCTCAGACTCCCGGGAGGCGTCGAGCTCGTCAAAAGCAGACATCTCAAGGATTGGCGTAAAGCGGCCAAACAACTCGGTATCAATGGTACGGATTCCGCAATTCTCTCGTATTATGGAAAAGGAAATTCCTCATCCGATCATCTCAATATTGAACAGACTTCGCGAATATCAGGAATATTGCTGCAAATTCATGAGTACTCATCCCGAAAGGTGTTTCCGAAGTGATAAAACGTGGAGACGGAAGCGTGAAGTCTCCGATCGCTAGTCTGATAGACAACGACCAATTTCTGGAGAATTCGATGACCATCATAGCGTGGGGGCCGCAGAAAGCTGTTTTGAGAGCTCTAGGGAAAGTCAGGTCGGATTTCGCACAGCTGTCCGGACTGCTCGAAGGAAAAGACAAAGGTCAGACTTTAGGACGAGTGCACGGCGCAGCTCGCGGTCGAGGCTCGAAATAGTTTCTGCCTCAAGTCATAGTTCGAATGTACGAGATTGCGATTGAGTATTATTTCCTCTTTCAACCCAGATTTCAAGTTCGCCTGGATCACTGATTTTCCGCTATTCTCGAGCGATGAAAACGGTAAGCTGGAGTCTGAGCATCACCCATTCACCGCACCTCACGATGATTACGTCGAATTCCTCGATAGCGATCCTCTGAGGGTCAAGAGCCAGCATTTTGATCTCATTCTCAACGGCTGGGAAATCGGTGGAGGCTCCATCCGCATTCACTCGTCCGCTCTCCAGAGGTAAGCTGACTTTTGGAGAACACGAAGAATTCCTTCACCGTGGGTCAAAGTTTCCAAATCCGTTCCCAAAATCTCGATAATCTGGGAGGTCCAATCTTTCAGGAAAATCCTCGCTGACGTTCTCGGACAAGACTGTTCGGAGCTTGAGCACCTCCTGAAAGCTCTAGATAGCGGCGCACCACCTCACGGGGGCTTCGCATTCGGGCTTGATCGTCTCATCGCGATTCTATGTGAAGCACCGTCGATACGGGATGTGATCGCGTTCCCGAAAAGCCACGATGGTCGAGATTCGATGGCCAACGCTCCGGTAGCTCTGACGCAGGAGGATCTCGAATATTTTCATCTGGGAGGGCTCAAGTCGCCAGAGGGTCGGGATCCGTCTGGGCACAGCTCAAGCGGAAACCTTGCGTCCTAATCTTTGTTCATGCAATCCTTAATAGGCCTTAATAGAACGTCAATTGAATGAGCACTGAACCTCGTTCGCTTGCCGCTCATTCGCGTCGTCATGCTGTTCCGCCCGCTGTCCGATACCCGGCATTCCGGAGTCAATGGTCTCTCGATGATCCCGACGCGACGACGAGATCGCAAAAACGCTACCTCGAGCTTCTATCGAATATCCTGAAATCTACATACCGATCGTTCCAATTGAGAAGGCATATCGCAGAGGGCTTTTTCCTGACCAGCGTGAAAGCTGAGATTCAAAGCGAAAAGACGGAGCGGAAGATCGAATATACTGAACATTTATTCGAAAATGAAAGGAAATTCATGAGAATGGAGCTTTTTCCGGAAATGGAACAGGAATCAACAAGCGGGGAATTATTCCATTCTGTCGGGATTGTCAAATGAGTCCGCCCTGGGGTTACAATCGACTCAGGCGCTCATGGCCGCTTTGGAATCACGGAGCGAAGGATTGCTCGAAAAACTTTATCCCTTCCCTGGGGAACAGTGCGCGCGATCTGGAGTGGTCCTAAAACCTCCACGAGAACTTTATCGGCCTCCCAGGAACGGGTTGGATCATCCGCCGTTGTACTGAGACCTAGCGCTGGAAGCCACGGCTGTGGTGGCAAGAACTGCGTCTATGAGGTTCGTTGAGGGTATTCATAGAATGAAGGGAACCCGACAGGACGGTGTAACAGCAAGGAGCCCCTCGATTTCCGTATCATCAAGGAGAGGCTTACGCTCTGCGAAAGAAAATCATTGAAGGGATTACGAGCATGAGAATAATAATGATCGATAGGCGCCGAATGCGCGTCAGCCGCGTGGTATTCATCCGAGAGGGGGAACAACTGTTCTTGATTATCCTGCTCACATATAATGTCCGCGGCTGACCCGTGATCAGAGGAAACTCCTCCGACATCCGTCAATTTTGTCTCCGGGCATGTCCACAATAGTTTAAGATATCCCGGAGATCTCCGAACTCCCAACTTAAGCATCCTCGAACCGCATCGATGTTCATCTTCATGACGCGCCGGAAGGATTTGTGTGTTTTTTTGTTTGCCTCATCAGCGACAGCGCAGGGATTTGCAGCCAGCTGATGCGATATTCCTCCAGCGACCACCGGGCTACGATTCGTGTTAGAATCGTCACTGACTGTATAAGGTGTAGGACAGGGTCAGATATACGGATCGGAAGAGATTGCATGCTGCCCAGATTGGCGGATCGCTAGCTGGCGTGTACACGAATTTGCAAAACATCATGATGCGCAACTCCGTCACGCGATTTGTACTCATCGATTGTCTTCCATCCGGGTCTTCTCCTCAAAAGATCATTCTCAAAGAACGACGAGTAGGATCGCCCCACTGACTATAATTGAACTCTGGACAATTTTCTTCTCAACTGGCATGCTTGTCGATTCGGACAAGAGGATGGTGTGCTCTCTATCTACAGAACCTAGTGTTATGCTCGCTGTGTATTTCTCTATCCACCGAAGGCTTCTTCCTATCGAACTCTAGGGATGGCGATTCGCAAGCCACATTCATTGCCCGAATCGAGTTCGAACTCGTAGGGGAAACGATCCGTCTGGGGCATCCTCTCGTCTCCGAGATTTCCCAAGGCTCACTCAGCTTCTCGAGGTCAGACATCCCCGGTAGGAGGCTCGGGAGATCGCCAGGAACGGGCTTCGACCGTGATTCCATCCGATAGGGGCAACGTCGGGGAGCTTCTTGGCTCATCATCAGCCCGCAGAAGATTTCCGCCCTGCCGCGGGAGCTGTAACCCTAGGTGAGTGATTAAACCATCTACAGGGATCGTTAAACTCTATCGGAATTCGCCTCGCATGGCGCGTCGAAGAAAGTGTCGCATACCGGTTGGCTTACCGTGGGAATTTCAGCCTCAATGCCTCGCGGAGAGCAGCATTGCTTCCCAGTGTGAATCTCCGTGCCACCCGAAGAATGTCTAATCGAAGAGCGCACGTGAGAATTCTCTCTCGAATTTCCCCCTTATCGTCGATATCACATTCCCGCGCTCGCTCTGCTATCTTGAGGAATCGGTCAGAGCCGCGCTGGTTGAATCTCGGAGTGGGTCCCGTTAGCTCGATCTGGTCGGAAAAATCATGGTTAGCACCTCGGTCGCTCCCGTCGTGTGGTAAGCTGCTTCCATTCGAGAATGAGATTCTGAACTCACACGTCAGAGCCCTCGGCGGGACTAACTTCGGAAACCTCGTCTAGCACGTTGAGTTCAATGTTCCCGGTCTGGGGGGAGCACGGTTTGAAAAGAATTCATCAATTCCAGCATCCCCATTTGAATAATTCCCCTCGCTCTATGTGCTTATGGAAATGTGACATTCATAATCATTCACCTGAGATTCGAGGCTGTCATTGTGTCGAGCGTCCGGGAACAGGAACACCGTGTTCCGTCGAGACGAATAATACGAACTGGATGTAGTGGGAATACTCTCGCTGGAAACACGGAACGATTCTCGATTTATTCCGAGTGCTCTATCTGCATCATCGGCTCGAACGCGGGAATTCATATCCAAAAAGCCTCGGGTCTCTAATGGTTCTCGATCGTGTATTTGGAGTGGATCGTGTGCTTTCCGATGAAAAATTCACCTGTATATCGAGAAGGGTGAACTAGTGGACAGGCGATGTCTATCCGAAGATATTGAGGAATTGTACCCGCTCTCAATCGACATGAGGCCTGGCGAGATCGTGGTCGTCGGTGTCGAGCACATCGGACCGCCCGCGTACAGCAAGGAATGCAATGTTCGGCGGGAGAAGCGCTCGGCACGGCGCTCGCTCGTGACTGAAGCCGATTGCGGGATCTGCGGGTCTGCCTGCGCCGATGTCCGTGAATGAGCGACCTGAGCCTCGACTTCGTCCAAAGCGCTTTTCAGGGTCAGATAACTCAGGCGGGCCGCCATGAATTCCACAGATTGCGGGAGCTGACATCGGTCGCAAGAGAAACCCTCCGTCTGGGTATGGATACTGATTTCGACAGAAGGTTGCGTTTTGACTTTCTGCCGAACGTAATTTTGAATTGCCGGCTCGTAGATCGACGTCAGGGACTGGGTTCCGCGGAGACGGCGGTTGCCGGGCCCTTTCTTAGGTCGCTCGTCTCCTTCCTTCTTGAGCTGTGCAATCTCTTGCTGGTGGGAAAATTCGAGGTAACAGAATTTCAGAGGTCAAATGTGACGGAACGCCAAAATCCCATGTATGCGCCCACGGCCAGTACGTCCGGAAAACCTAGGTTCCGATCTAGATGGGCTTACCCTGCAATCCTCGAGTTTCAGAAGAAGGATCTCAGCTTTATTGTCGGAAACCTCCTTAAAACGCTGGGTGTCTTTAAGCAAGTCCGTCAGATCTCGATTCTGACATTCGGCAAGAGCTTGCACCACGCGCAACACGCGAAGCAAGCGAATGAAGACTAAAAATTGCAGATAGCGGCTCTTGTGAGTTCTCGGAAGGCAAATTGTGTAGTAGACGTCGAGTCCGGAAACCGCCACGACGAGAACGATATCGGCTATCTGGAAGAGTTTTCGCTTGCGTGAAACGGAATATCACCTGCTCGGATTCCCGGCTCTATTTATTGCTCGGATATCCTCTCCAACTGCGCACGTGATACATTCAGCGGACCGAAGCTGATGAGATATAGGGATTGAGGCGTACGCCAGGATTCGAGGCAGGGTCTCTCTCCGTCGGACTGTGAGCTCACCTCGAAAACATCGAAGTCGAAGCGGCCGACTCCGGTCAGAAGTTTGACGAGAATTTCAATGAAGAATAAAAGTTGGATGCCTAGCACGAGGCCCCCGCAAATCAGCCGCGGACGTTCGGGATCCGCGTTGTTCAGAAATGATGGTCGGAATTCGCTGCAGTTCCGCCACATGGCCAAAGGATTCCCCGGCGAGTATTCTGTGCGAAACCGAAGGGAGTCCGAAAAATTACTCCCCGCCAGCGATGGTGAAGAACTTTCAAAATCGCTATTTTGACAAGTCACAACTCACCCTTGATCCTCATCATTTCTGTGTCGATGAAAGTGACGATGATCACACTGAAACCTTGGATGCAAACTAGTAGAACAACGATGGCGTTGAACCACCAGCCGTAGAGGACTTCCCATATTCTCTCGGCGAACCTGCAAGGGGACCGTCGGTGACTGCGATAATTTTCCCCTTCTGAAACATGTCATGTATTCAGCTTGAGCGCGAAGATCCTGGGATGAGAACTGTCGTGATCTGTTCATTGTATGCATCGGTTCATTCATGGTATGGACGACTTCTGGAACGACGAGTCGTACCGGATCTTCTATGATAGCCGCTTCCTGGATCAGATAATCTCATCTACTTGGGAACTTTCAAGGGGAGTATTAGGCGAGCTGAGTTTCGCAGCAGATGTTCTCGCAATGCGGCGTCCCGTGCGATTGTTGGGTTCCGTCACGCACACAGCTGCTACGATCATAGCCACTTAAGAATGCTTCGGAGTATTCCATCAGACCTCTCGAGCATCCAGCTGTACGAAACCGTGAACTTCTCGCTTTGTTCTTGTGGATGGCATTCAGAAACATTGACGGACTACTTTTTCACCGATGCGGAGGTCGGACAACCTACCGACGTCCCGACTCAGTGGGATGAGCCAATCTGAATGGGAACGCGAGTTTGCGGAACCACTTGTTCTCGAGGGGAACTTTGCGCTGCACGAATGCTTGCTCGTCGGCCCCCGAGAACTTTTCGGAGATGCATTGGGTTTACTCTTGGATATTCTTACTCGACGAATCCCACTCTTGTGTGGTAGTTACGTCTACCAGATGCTCCAAATCGATTATTCAGGAGCGGTCGTTCGAGTCTTGCACGCTCGCAATTCCATGTTTTTTTTGACAGGAGTGGATTTGAATGGAATCTCCGACGGAGTCATCAGACTTGGCAATAGAAACCATGCAATGGATGGGAGCAGGGATGTCTCGGATTGAACGAATCGCACAGCATCGAATCAGCCAGGATTCGGGCTGCGATTTCGTCCGCAGATTCACACTAGTCCGCATCCGCTTCACGGGGCGCGCCTTCCAGGAGGTTCAGCGCGCGAAAAAACATTAGAGCGAAGTTGGGCATCCAACAATAGAGTTGATGGCTGTTGAGAATGCTCTTCGCTCGTAGTGCGAACGCAGCTGTCCTTCACTAGAACTTACGGTTTCGTCGATCGTGGATGAGGAAGAACGAGGTAACTGTTGCCTGCGGGTCCAGGCAACCACCTGTTCGACGCAGTCGGGAACAGGGTTACCGATTCGTGGAAGCTCGCTGGATATCAACACCGGGGTTCTGCAAGAGACTGTGGCACTCGGCGTTGTTGCTCTCACACGATCCTCTGTCGGCATCCACGAGTCTGATCGCAGCTACTCCACGATAGACGCATGCGGTACAACTTGACGTCGTCCCTGTCTGAAAACCCAGGCTTTCGTCTCGATGCTTGATACCCTCACCCTCCGATTGCCGTCTCCTGTACCCCACCTATGCATCGGCCCTCCTTTGATAAGCGCATTTCCCTTTCGGTATCTGGGAGATTCGCCCCAATTGCGTTGAGTCGACGGCTCGCCATGCTTCGTTGATTTCAGTTTGTCAACGATTGTAGTCCGACAATTATCGTGCGGAGGGCAACAGCAGGGGAGGATCAGAATCAGTCTTCTGCAAAAAACGATTGGAAACGCTCGCGCATGCGCTCGCAAGCTCTCGGAACTTGCGCAGTGGAGAGGGTGAGCGATCGGGATGAACTTGAATATTTCCTTACCGAGCATTCTCGGAACTAATCACCCGAACTCGATTCTTCGTAAAGCTTCCACGGAGAGTCAGGGATTCCGTGATGCCATTATCATTATTCGGAGCCTCGCCTATATTCAGCATCTGGATGCCACCCTCTACGATACCCTTCACGCATGGCTCTAGGCAACTTCTTTTGACGTGAAAACGTCTTTAATTTCATCGACCATACAGATCGAGGGTACTTCGTCCTTTGCGTCACAAATGTTGTAACTTTTCTCTGCCTTAGATCTCGGAGACCTGGGAACGTAGAACTTTGTAGCTGGTTTCATGAGAACGCGAATTTACGGCATAAACTACCATTCTATTATGGTATCAAATCACGACTTCTGAGATCTTTTCCGGAGGCGTTTCATGCACGCCTCTGGGAGGCCTCCAATGTGACATGAATGAAGGTTGTGTGAGATGTCTGAAGCTTATTCTGATTCGAAATCACTGTTTGATTTCGAGGGGGTTTTCAGTCTTCTAGGTCGCGTTGTATTTGCGACTCAGGGGGTTACAGGAAGGACATATTCATGCGAAACATGAGACATTTCGCAATGGGGGTCGATTTGTTTCCCTCTCTCCTTTGGTCAGCATTACTATCGTTTTCCCTCCGAGCTGTCGCCATGCCACGAGAATCTCTGGTCGATGGAAGATGGAAGTTCACCTCTCTGCAGCGGAGCAGTGCGAGGAGGTGAAATTCGAACAGATTGCGCGAATCATCTTGAAATTCGTGAGAAGAGTTGAGCTCGAGATGACTGGGAATAATAGGGAATCATGAGTGGTGTCAATTAAACGCTAGATTCCGAACATCTAGATTCTAGATCAAAATTCCAAGATTGAGTGTTTGGTCGGGACATAAACCTTGTGCTACTCAAGAGTTCTTCGTTATTACGGGAGGACTCCGTCGAGTTCAATACATTCATCGTCATCGGCATTGATCACTTGAGATTGTGAATCTTCCATGATGCGGCCAAAAACCGCCAGTAGAAGGCAGAACATACGGCGAGCGGAAGCTTCAGCGAGCAGGGCAGTGAAAAGAGAGAGAACTTCTGCTGAGAGATCAGCTGAATATCGGAAGCGTCGCCGAGAGACTTCATCGGTCGTGTCTTGTGGTACTGGAGCTCACGATGCCCGCAGGGAGGTAAACGAATCAAATGACATTTCAACATCGATCGACGAGCCAAGTCGAGACGATTCTTATGACGGTGAAGTTGAGCTGACACGATGTTTCACATACACTCAATTATGGGAACGTGCCACTATTCAGTTCCGTCGCATGTTTCCGATGATGAATTCGGACACAAATGCGATGTTTGCAATCGCATCTGGTTTGTGCGGGATCTGAAGCCGATCACCTCTCAGATGGTAGATTATTTGGCACCATATTTCCCGGACGAAGATGCCGTCAGTTTCAGACTCTGCCACAATTGCTACAAAATTTGTAGGAATGAGAAAACACCCGATCTCAGTAGAATCAATGGATATACATACCCACCGAAGCCCACAGACTTGCCCAAATTAGATCCTGTGTGCGAGAGAATAATGTCACCGCGACTTCCATATGTTATAAGGAAAGTTGAACCCGTCTACTTGAGTCAAGGCGGACCCCAAAGCCAGAACGGAATCTCAATTCAACCTTTACCCATTTTTATCTTGATTGGAAATGAATCATTTCAAGTTCAAAACATTATTCAGTCGTTATAAGCAGAACAACACCGGATGAATATCACGTTTTCACGCCAAACGTTAGTGTCGAAGATACTACCTGCCACGGTTTTTTTTGTCCCTTAGACTGAGCTCTTCCTGAGGTTGAAACGCTGAGCACCAGGCCGTGACTCGGGAGAATCTGCCGTGCGCTCTCCGAGCATGACTTGTAATCGAGTATACCACATCAGGATTTCGATGTCCGCTGAGGAGTGTTAACAGAATCGCTTACACCCGGTATTTCGTCTGTCGGGTATGTTCAAGCAAGAGCAACTCACAACCTGTTGCGCCAAGAAAGGCGCATGATGCACGTGGTCGAGACGGGAAATCTCTCGAGGGTTCGGCGAACGGAGGCGTAGCTTCCTCTCGGAGCGCTGTCCGGGATTCCGGACTGTCTCAGAAAGCGGCAGCTTTCGGCTCCCGCAATTTCACTCGCGAATAAAAGAATACCCTCGAGCGGAGGGCGTCGGAACCGCCGAATCAGGCGGACGGCCGTGCTAGCTGGGGAGGCGTTCTGCGAAGCCCGTCCGGCCGGGTGGAAGCTCATTGAGTTTCATTCCACGGCAGTCAACGCCTCCACCAACGTATGGGCTCGAGCCTGCTCGACAATGCTCTCGATCCTGCGCAAGGAGTTCAAACGCTGACTTCCATCCATTGAGTTACGAACTCAGCTCATCTCAGTACTTCGAGGGCAATAATTCTGCCAACTGTGCGCATATATACCGGGAATCATACGCCAAGAACAGCGTTATGGGTCCATCTATGGGCTTCAGATAAGTTGAGGAGGAAGCGTGGGACGCTCAGGTTTGTGGATGCGTCGGCGTTGACGCGACGTGAACATCACGAGAGTAGGCGTGTTTTGAATAACAAGCTCGGTACGGAAGTAACGAAGCCCGACACCCGATGCGCTTCAGATTTTGCACTGTGAGATTCCGGAAAAATGGCCCGACCTTCAATCACCGCTTTTCTCGTTAACGAACACTTGCAGAAGGTCATGGGGACGCACGACGTTTTTTGCGATCATCTAGATCTGCTCAGCGGCGCTGTGAGCCTTGTCCACGATGAGCTCAAGGTGATTCCTTCCGGCTTCGTTCGGTCCTGTCTGTCTGGCTTCTCTTCTGTGCTGTCGCTTGTTGACACGAGCAGGATAAGATCCGAATCCTCGCGAGTTCCTTTCAGCCATACTGCGTCACTCATTGTATCGTGAGCTCCATGTTTCCAACGCGGAGATTGTGCCAGAAACTTCCGCTGCTCGTGGAGGTCGCTTAGGTAGTCGCGCGCTCAGCATATGCGATTAAGCTCACGATCGGTTCTCGGTGCTGATGGAGAACTTCCCCCAAACCCTTGCAGCTCATCGAGGAGTCGCTTCGGGAATTCCGGACCCTGCTCGGGGGCTTCGAGGAAGGAGCACACGAGCAATCGTCTCCTCCAGGTACCGATGGCTGATCCGGTTGCTCGTCGTTTGGCACGAAAGGCGCTACCCAGGCTGAACCAGGGTTTATAAGGAAGGAGCTCTTTTAAAAAATAAATCTGCGAATATGAGAAATCTTCACCTGAGTTTTTTCTCCCTCATTGAAATGCAGGACCGCGATCGGAAGCGCGGTTGAAGTTCTCCGATCGTCACTCGACCCTCAGTGCCAAAGATCGAGATATGGGGAAGGTTCAAAGACATTGTGGGGAGCGTTTCAGATCAACCCCTAGTTCTCAACCCTTTGCGCTCTGTCTGATCCCTGCGCAGACCGCGGAAGCCCAACGGGGGAATCGGCTTTCCGATGATCGCCTCGTGTCCCTCCTTCCTGCCGACTACAGAGTGAATATCGGACTCTAACAGCGAGTAAATCCTTGCTTTCATTCATTCTGATCCTCCCAGCCGTGGCAGTGTTGCCCACTTCAGCTAAACATTCGGGAGCGTTCCGTCTCCGAGCTCCGATCATTTTTCCGCAGCTCTATAAATTGCTCCTATTCGTTTCTCCTGATTGCGCACATTGGGTGCGATTGACGCGGGGCGGGTGCCTCGCCCCCTGGACATCCCTCAGGTCCTCCCCCGCTCCGGCTTGGTGTCCGGTCTCGAGGCTTCCGGTAGGCGGAGTAGTTGAGAGAAATCGGAGAATGAGCCAAGGGTCGGGGAAAGAATGCTGCGAGAGCCGACTCTTTGGTGGGTGCGGCGAACATCCATAGATCGGCGCTCAAGTAGAAAGCATGCGACTTACATCAAGATCGGTTCAGTGAAGCGTTTCTCCGTGAGGACTCCTGAAGACTTCCAAGGCGACGTGACGAGCTTCACATCCTAGCTTCTCATGGATTACGAGGTGAGAAATATCCGGGGTAAAAATGCTGGGTACCGGATCCTCTCCTGGATGCGCCTCCAAAATTCGAAGAGACGGGGTCTGAACCCTCAGGCGTAGGCGCCCCCTCCTTCCAAGTCCGCCAACGATACCCCGGCTAGGATATCGGTCGGAGGGAATCTGGAGACTCTGCCTCGTAGTATGCCCCCTCCGAAGCGGGACCCTCTGGTCGCCTCCCAAGTATCCACGACCGCGCATCCATAAGGCTCACTTCCAGAGCCTTATCCACCTTCGCGACATCGAGAGGGGAGAGCTCATCATCTGCAGGTGGTTCGAGGCGAAGACAGTGGGACTCAACCAGAAGCGCTGGGCAGATACTCTGCCCCAGGAAGTACGGCCTCTCGTTCACGAGACTTCCACGTGATATTTACGGGGTCGAGTAAGCCTTGCGAAGGAACTTCCTGCTCGTAATTGAAGGCCTATGAGGAACGGCATGAAGTCGCATCCAATAAGCGTGGCCCTCGTGAACGACGTCGGGTATTCCGGAGCCTCCAGTTGACTCCGTGTCCCGCGAAATTCTCTGTCATGCATCGGGTCCGAAAAGTTCGGCGACATATTCATCTGATTTAACGCGCCACGATTCTCGCCTGAAGTCCCTCCTCCAAGCCCTCAGCTCCAAGCTAATTTTATACAAGTAGCGTTCTGCTGTGACTTCCATGGACATATGTAGTCTCCGCTTTCCGTCTGTGCTCTGAGAATCAAGAGAACCGCCTCGACTCCGTTTCTCGATAAGGTGTTCAGATCGCTCGAAGAATTTTCTGAGAGGCAGTCTTCTGTTGAGAGTTGCCGGTACGTTGAGCCTAGCAGACTACAAGAATTTCGTATTCGAGTAATCCGAGAGTGTTGGGTGATGATATAAGCTCAGCTCGAATTCCAGGATCGGCCTGGAAAGGCGAAGAATTCCCGACTTGACCTGGCCCTACAGATATGTACCTGGATCAAGAATTGTTGAGTATTCATCCATATTTCTGATGATGTTGATTCTTCCGATACTCGTACATCCGCGCCAAATGTATGCTTCATGTCGACGCTGGGTTTGTCGGCACGACCAAACGTACACGCGCTTCCCTCCTTCTTCGGACGACTCTTCTCCCCAGTTGAATCCCCCAATCAAACGCGTTGCGTTTGATGGAATAAGGGATGGCCGTGAGCTTTACAGTGATTGAATTCATTGACACATCTCGTATTGTCGCAGTCGGCGCAAACCCTACTGGGTTGCGTATTGCGGAAAGCTTTCCGACGTAAGATGACATCATGGTTCCATTGTTTATAGGATCTGACTAGAGCATTACATGGCCAACCTATGAAAATTGAGGCGCGATGAATCTCAGCAGATCCTTCTAGTTTCGCGTTCCCATATCTCGAGGGATCGCTTCATGGCGTCAAGCGATGTAGTATTTGTCTCGCTGCTTAGGCCGAGGCGAGCAGATAGGTCCTCATCGGTAATGAGGAGCTCATTGCATTCAAAAATAAGATGTACCAGTGTCACCGGATTCTGTAGCTTAAGGGAGTTAGGACAGACAGGCCATCTCTACTAGCGCCATGGAGAGGCTATACGCTCCGAGCTTGAGCCGAGCTTACTTAGTTCCCCCGCGTCCCTCCTTCTCGCAACTTCGATGAAATCATATTGAATTATCCCAAAAATAAGCCATCATCAAGGTCGTATACATTTCCTGTTTTATTACAAAGACGTGAATGAGCTCGTCAAGCTTTGACGCCTCATAATCGGAGAGAAATGAGCAGAAGGTTCGCCCATGGTCGTTTCGTTTCTGCTCTACTCATTTCAAACGGCGAGAAGGATAATTTTGAGGCTGTGACGAGGCCACGCCGTTAAACTCAGTACCGTCTTGTGATGATCTGATAGAGAATTGATGGCTCTAAGGTCGGGGATTAAGTTCCGATACCTCGAACACATCAGATCCCTCAGACTATGTAGTCAAGATGAGCGCATTGAATTCACCCACATGCTGGTTTATATTATTCATTTCCCTCATATACAAAGCTTTGTGCTCTACAAGTATAATGTCAATGGGCCTCCATACATCAAGTGCACGAATGACGTCATTGTCTGAGCGGGGTCTCCCAATTCCGGGAGAATGAATCGGGACTGAATTCCGAGATTCTACTCCTTATCAGCTGTCTTCGGTCTTTCTCCGGGAGTGTTCTGCTGCTCGCTGTGCAGCAAACGCGTTCCGGAATGCCCTCCTGCAACACTTGAATCCGATCTCGTCTCTGTCAATCCGAAGAGGATCGAGCTGGCCCCGACGGGATTCAGCGACTTCAGTTCCGATCCTGTTCTTATCGTGGCGGAATGGAGTGTTCATTCTCTGATAGCAACGCTGAACTAATTCAACACTATGATAAAGTGACGCCTCAGTGATTTGTCTGAGTTCTGATTCTCTCCAAGCTTTTTGTCGCTAGATTAAACTCTCGAGAACCTAGGTTCTAGATCCTTTCAGATCGATACATCGACACTCATTGCTCGCGAGGTACAAAGTATCCGGTCTTCCGAAGCGCCTTATTCTGTCCCAATAGAGGAATCATCGACAAACACTGCGCAGTCGAGCGTATTGCAGCTCAGTCGCGTATTCGCTTAGAAAATCTGAGCTTTGAATGGGATCCGGATCCGAACCTCGGTATCACACGGGATACGTCGGATTCCACTGGAGGATTCATCCCGGCGCTCCTATAAGCTACATTTACGTATAGGCTACATCGTTGAAGCTCCTGGTGCCTTCCTAGACCCTGTCTCACACACTATGTATTGCTAAACAATATTTTCAGCACATCCGTATGCGGGTCGGAACAAGGCTGATTGCCTGATGAGGTTGCAGAAATCCGCTGGAGCTCTCACCATATGCGGTGCGCTTCCGCTTCTCGACTGTGATTCAGTGGTTTCCCGATGTATGGAGGAGACCGAACGTACTCCTCCGTTCGGCCTAATGGGTCTGTTGCTCTGTCAGTAATATATCCCAACTGAATGATGGCCGTGACCGGCCGTGCCCAGAGCGTGGCGTATGTTAAGGCGACGTCGCTGTCCTCAGGCTCAGGTTGCAATCATTAGCGTATCATGCAGTCATTACATCGGAGCTTGTTCCGGCACGGAGTGCTTCTCGGCTTCACGGTTTCGGGCTCGCTCAGAGATCCCGTCGAATGACGAGAGCGATTCGAGGATTCCTCAGTCCTCCCGCGAGAAAGCCCCGTAATACTCGGAATCCAGGACAGTGGGTGATGCCATCGAATATACGAGCCATGGTGTCTGAACTCTTATAAGGGTCGATCGGATCGTCAAAAGAAACATACTTCAATGAAATCATTCCATCTCCAGGAATTCCAGGATTCGACATACACTCCTAGGTATAAAAAACCCTTGACTGAATTCGAGGGCCGCTAGTCAAGACTCGGATCATTCGGAAAGACTGAATTTGTTCGATATATCCTAATTGTTCCCGGCGAAAAGCTTCCGACTGAGATGCGTTAGCAGAATTATCATTTCTTAACACTGTACCGCGTTGGGAAAAATACTAGATGTTGTTTCGTCGGCTCCGGAAATGATCTGTCCACGTGCGCGTGGTGAGCAAGATCGCAGTGATTCTCCCTCTACAGTTTTTGTGGAGAAACCAAGCTATGGATCCATTGAATGATCGCCTGAATACCGAAGCTAGGTATATAAGCGGGGTACCTAGGAAGTTCCGTAGTACTCAGACATGTTTCCGTTGAGGGATTCTGGAGCCTGATGTATTTCGAAAATTTTCTGAATCTCCAGACGTCTTCCCGATACAGGGCTCGATTCTGAGAGATCTGTCCCCTAAAACGACTGCGGCAGCTAGGTCAGATAAGCTTCCAGAGGACCGGTTAGCGGCATTTTGTGTGTGGGGGTTTTGGATGTCTCGAATTGGAGATACAAGCAGATGATTTCGGGGATCACCCGGTTCGGAACTCCGAAGTCCTGCTCCAACTGTGATCAGAAAGCAAGCTTCGAGAATTCGAGAGGGAGCTTCAGACGATTACTGAGTCCTTTCCGAATCTATTTATTGCTCGTTACATTATTCCGCAAACGGATCACGCACACGATGTTCTAGGGCCTTCACGAATGCGACTCCCTGCGTCTTCATCTGGCTCTCTAGATTCATGTATGCAGATCAACGAGTTGGGCTGAGCTTCCTCCGCATAGTGTTCTGGAGATATATGATACAAGTTGGGTATCACTAGGAGGAACCGATTAGACAAGTACAAAAGTCTAATGTAAGTTGAGCGCTTAGAGACTCCGGTCTGCGGTCCGAAAAGAGACCGTAGTTTGTTCTCGTCGTTCGTGGAGCGATCCGGAAACTAAATATTGTCTCGTCAGGAAGATCTTTCAGTCTTCCTGCGGTGCGACTCTGGAACGCCGATGTCTTCGACGTTCACGATACCAACGCCCAAAACAAGGCATGCAGTCGACCAACGAATCCAAAACGACTTTTTTAATCATCCGCCAAGGATGACTTGTGAAGGTTATCTTCGACCTCGAACCCTTCCGCTTCCCCGGATTCTTATGGGACGAAGTCGCCTTTTTGAAGATATCCTTATTCATCGGACTGCCGTCACAATTGCTGCCGTAAATCAAATTCACGACCTGCCGTTGATATTGATCCAACTCAGCTTCAGTGAAACTGCTCAGACGTCGGCGTTGCCGCGGTGTGCCCACGGCCTCGCCGTCGCCATCGACCGCTTGTTCGGAGATCAAGGCCTCTTTGGTTACGCAGCTCGCTCTCCCCGTAGTCCCTCTGTCCAGCCGCGGAGTCTCCCGGATGAGGTTCCCGGGAGGAAAATCTTCAGCGTTAGACGCCGGCGCAGGTGAGCTCCGCGGAGTCGCATCGATCTCCGCATTCGAGCTCGCGCCGTTGGGACAGATAACTTGCAACGAAGGAATCATTTCGGGTTCGGGAAAGTTATTTTCAGGAGGCGCTTGAGTTCGTCCGTCAACGGTAGAAGATTTAGGACGGCTCGAACGAGTGCTTCCCGCTTTTCCCTTGCCAGCTCGAACCCTGTGTCCAGTCGGAGCGCTCGTGGCCCTCATCGAAATTTTCGCTTGCGTTTCCGAAGATGGGGATTCTCCTCTTCCCGGTGGCATTGTGTTGTGCGAGAGATTTTCAGTGGAATCCAGTGAGAAATTCGAGTGCAGGCTGAGTCTTCTGGAGGCTAAAGTCAGCGATCTCCGCCGCTGAACGCGGAGAGTCGCACTGTCAAAGCTCAGCGCTTGTGAGAATACTGTGGGGCCCGGACTACGTGCTGTCGCCGCAAACAAAGCGCGTCTATTATGGCGAGTCCGGGCCTGTTGTCAGGAACCTCTCGTTGCGTGGTGTTGTCGAACGTGTTTCGCGGAACTCGGCCGACTTGTGCTCGCGCTGCTGCTGCTAGCAGAACTGGACGAAAGCGTTCGTAAGACACCAGCGGTCTGGTAGACGGCTGTGGAGCTGTTTGTTCTGGTGAGGAGTCCTCGGCCTGCAAATTCCGTTCGTTGCGTTATGTGAGAAAAGGCGGTGGGTAGTGAGCGTCACGCGACACACCAAATGCAAGAACTCAGGAATCGCGCAACGATCGATTCCTTCACGGTTTCGGTAATTGAACAAACAAGGATAAAAACAAACGCTAATTTGAGTTTCCGCTTGAGGGCGCCCGAAATTAAGTGTGGTAAATCGAACGTTCTCCGGTACTCGCACGACAGACCTTGGACGGCGTGGTGACCTGGGGATGAGGGCGAGGAATGTGGGCGGTTGTGTGCAGTGTGAGACGGAGAGTTCAATGGTGAAGAGGTTCTCCTTCTCCGGCGAGGCGATGAAGGAGGGGTAAGGAGCGGCCCTGATAGACACAATGCACAAAAACCAGTTGTCACAGCTCTCCCAAAGCGGCATAACATGGTTTCCATGATTTCTATGCTTGAACCTATGGAAGTTCGTATCTGTCCCTTGTCACGAATGCAGCTTTCTCAGAAGCACAATCCGAAATATGCTCTACTCCGATCATTTCTACATTTGCCGATTGGCATCTACGAAATTAATCCGAATGACTATATTCACTCTGCATCACAATCCTCTGACCCTGCGCTCGACCCCATCTTTGGCGGCTGGGGAACTTCTTTCGAAAATTCAGCAACGGACCAGCTCTGCTAAATCATGACTGCATCATTGAACTCCACGGGACTCTTGTGACATGTTCTAATCAAGATCGCAGTAACCCAGATCTTCGAGCTGGATTCTCATTGAATCACAGTTTAGGTTTAGATACTTTGGGAAATTCCCGGGCTTCTCCTCGCCTCGACATCATTTGGACTTGGACCTTCTGTATGGAGACCTACCCGATCGGCAGATGGAAGCTTGTCTCTGCCCCTCAGCTTGGATCAAGAGTTCGCGGGCCTGATAGGTGGAAAGCAGCTTCCGGCACTCTTTTTCATCGTCCCAGAATTGAGATCGAGGATATTTGCCTCGGAGACGTCGTCTCTCCTGTCAAGAAACGAGTCCCATGTGCAATAAGAGATCCAAGCAGGAGATTGAACAGCAGGTGCAGAATTCTCCTTGCGGTGCGCTCTTCCCTTCGTCCATTCCTCATCGTCTCCCTTCTCATCCGCCGGTTCCTTTGTCCAAGCTGAGTGCACTGACCTCGTTGAGTTTTCGAGATTCGAACTCCACCAATTGCTTCTGGAATCCATCGTTGGGACTTGCGACGTCCCGAGCACCGCGCACAGCTTTCAGTGCTTCTTTGGAGTTCAAACTCGTCACTGTCATAATGTAAGCGACAGCGATGGTGACGCTTCGCGAAGCACCCGCGAGACTGTCGGATTCGAGAAAAAGTCGTTCATTGTGGGGCCAAATACGAGGAAGATCATGATTATTGAATTGTGACGAAAAATGGAGTTCCTCCGCAACAAATGACATGGAATGGAGGGAATTAGCTTCGGGCTCTCAATTAATGGATACCCACGAGGAGTTACCGGGCAAAACCCAGATGAGAAAAATCGACGAAAAGTGGGTCGGATTCTAGGATCTTCAATGGAGCCAATCTCAGTCAGTGAGTCGATCGATCGACGATGCGATCCTTCATCGTCGATAGCCACTCACCAGTGCACGAGTACGTTGCCTCCATTTGTACGGGCGGTGTGAATGAAGTCATTAGACTGCGGAAAGAATTGACAAAGGTTCTGTGAGGGGGAATCGGCTGCTTGGAGGCAGAGATACTCCAATTCGCGGCCGCATACGTCTGCTTCGATCGGCTGCAAAGAACGAGCTCATATTTGACTCGGTGACTGACGTGTTTCGATCCCATGCTCCGGCGCACACGATGGCGACCTTCGTCCTCGGAAAATGAGTCTGACGTTATAAATTATAATCGGGTCGTTTTCGTGACGCGGTGCTTCTCCCACCAGCCTAAAAGTGTTTCGAGTAATCGTCACGGAATCTAGCGTTTCTGATAATCGATAGCGAGCCCGAACTCACCGCCTGTGCAGGCTCCCTGGCCGTATCGTGGATCGCAACGATATGAGTGATGTTGTTCGCTCGCAGCTGAACCTTGATTTTGAAAAAAAAAGTTCTCAGGCAACCCATTGGCGACCCATTGCGAGCAGAATGGAGAATCGCTCGTCCTGCATGTTTCTCAATGGACTCTCATTGATACTCCTATTCCGAGACTTTCCGGACGAATTTTTGATTTGATTTACGCATGACAGGAGCAGGACGATTTTTACTCCGGACCAACTCGGGCAGCCGATAGTCGAAATCTACAGATTTCGCCGTCTACCTCGATGCCACTTCGAGCTTGTCTCCATGCCGGTCTACTGCGCGATGCGCCGTGTAAATATTTAATTAGGGTATATATAGGGGTGGGAGTAATGCATGGTGCGTCATGTAGCTGACTCGGCGATCGAGGGAGAACGACCCCCATGGGTTCGGGGAGCTAAATTTTGCTGAACGCATTCTGGGCGGAGGTATCATGTCGGATTCCGCAGGCGTGAAGGTGACGACCGAATCTAGGGATCGGAACCTCCAAAAGCGACCGAGATCGCTCGAGACGGAATAATCGATATCGGGGTATATGATCGATTCGAGCGGAACGCGATACGATAGGGACGAATAAGTTGACGCTTCCTCGTCGAAAGAGTCACGGAAAAACTGCTTAGGGAAGCTCGGAAGAGCGCTGATCGGGAGATTTGCGGCGGGTCCGAATCAAACTTACCTGATCTTGGGAATCTCGAACATTCCCAACGTAGAGGCCGGGAAGGACCTGAAAGCCGGGGCGGCGAGCTTAGTCTCCTCAATTTCGAAGTTCCCTGATCCGATCAATTTCCGTGACTGACTTCGACTTCGAAGATCGATATATTTTCGGAGCAGCGCCAAAGTGTTCTCTGGGCGTTGAGCTCTTCGATAGACAGGCCCTCCGAACTCATTCCTTCGATTCACTGTTTGTTGGTGTCGCCGAAAGAGGTTGAGTGTCTCCAGAGGGCACAGGCCAAACGACGATGATGATGTTCAAGCCAAGAATAGTCGACGTACCGAGCGGTTTCGCGCTTTTGTTTAGCGTCATCAGTCTTGAACGTCTCGGGGCAGCTGGCGGACTCGTCGAGCACGGGGATGCCTGAGGCACGTGACTTCAACAAGACTTATCTAGAGAAATAGCTCTGGACGCCAGCACTCCTGGCTAATTACGAGGGCGGATCCGACAGAGTTTTTCTAGCCTGCGTCGGTCACAACCAAGTAATGAACTAGCGGTGTGATGCCTGCGATTTGCTCACGCATAGCGAACCACGATGAGAGGCTTTTATATTTAGCGAAAAAAAACTTTGGGACACGTGAACGTCATCTTCAAAAAAGATCGCCTGCTTTGGGGTTTCTTCGAGGGTCAGCGGACGCAACTCAAGCGGAGGTTTCCAGGAACGACAGGCCATCCAGAGCCAAGCAGTGGAACGTCGTTCACGATTGAGACAAAAAAACGGAAGCTCACAAGTACTGAGCTGAATCATTTCACCGAGTTCATTTCACCGTTCCTGCGGAATACTCCAGAGCTCAATAATTATCCGATGAGTTCAAGCTAGGTGGAGCTTCACAATCGCGGTTCCTCTTCTGGAAAGGAAACTCCCTCAGCCCAGCTTCCTCTCAGATTGACCGACCGATCAAGGCGAACCGTTGAGCGGGAATTGCTCCAATGATGGGAATTCATCCTCGAAGAAGTCCACGTGACAGGCGATGCCCCATGACAACAAGGAGCCTCTCCCGAAGAGTGCTCACTCTTCACTGCCTCTGTTCCCTTCATGAATCATACCGTGAATGAATCATCTCGGAGTTGCTGCCAAATTCCCGAGGCGAGTACCGAAAGCACTGAGGATGAACCTCATTCTAGGAATCTTGCGCTGGCCCCCATGCTCGAAGTATACGTATACGTACGTGGTCACATGAACGTATTTCAGCGCTTCTCGGAGTCCACCCGTGCGAGACCTCCAAAACGTTCGGGTTATCGATCGTGCATAAGCTCCGCATGTTGGAACGAAGTTCAGGACGCATCAGCCGGATTCGGTGAGCTTCTACAGGTAAGGCGACGTAGACCTCTGCCAGACGGTCGACTGACGGCAAGATTCGCGGGATCCCGCACAATCTCCGCGGATTCCCGAGAGCGCGATGAGTTGAGAATTATACGAAAATATTGTCTCACCTTGTTCATACCGTTGCCCATGGATCCGGTCAATTCGCCATGGGGACATCTTGGAGATGCCCCTCGACTCTCCTCTCACCGCATTCTGCAATTGAGTCGAATTATTCTCAGTCACTGACGCAGAGAAGCTCCTCCAGCATGAACCGACGAGAGATTCACCAGTCGGGGGAGTATTGATCCACGCGCGATCGAGCGGCTGTAGTTCCCTGTAGCCTCAAACATTTGTTATAGGACTAGACGATCTCGAAGCAGACGGAGAGCACCAAAACCAGAGAGGCAATCTTATAATGAACGCTCCCGTGCCTGGCAGGCATGTAACTCGTGCGTTTGCATTCGAGTCCGTTGAAAGTTTCGCTCGACGGAAACAATGGCGGCCGAGCCCACAGCTGAAGCTGATGTGAGCTTGAAGTCTGCGGTCGCGACAGAAGGTGACCGAGTCTCGTTCCTCATTCCGTCTGTACGACGCGACGGAAGGGTGCAGCTTTCGTCGCATCTGACCCGTCCTGGGTCGCGCGGAGACGAGCTAGAACAGGAACCACTGGTTCGACCGATTCTCGCCCGACGTCTAGCAGCGATATTGGATACGCCTCGAGCTGGATAGTTTTGATAAGTGTCATCGGCGACTCATAGGCGGATCGCGGGACCGTGGAGAAGCAGCTCTGTGACGGCTTCGCCGTCAAGTTGATCTAAAGACTGCATCGAACGTCAGTCCCGCTATATTCGACGGAAAGACGATCCCAAAATTACGGTCTCGAAATTATCGGCCACGTATTGGCTTGCGATAAAACACTTAATTTGTAAGCCCTGTTTCATCGTTTCGACTTTGGAGCGATACCAATCTTGGATCACAGAACAGCGATGAAGAGCCCGAGCTTGAACGCTGTCTCCTTGGATCCATTCCTACATGTGCCCAAACGCCCATGTCTTCCTATCCATATTCGGCCTAGTCAGGCTTCCGGGCGTGAAAATGACAAACACATTCCGTGTGAGCTATCCGGAATCGAAATAAAGGCGGCGCGGCGTGTTGACTGAAAGTTCGCCCGTCACCATGACAACTCGGAATACTCTGCCGACAATCAACAACGAAATTACTTTTTTCAGACGACTCCCGGAGATCTAATGTGGTTTATTATAGTACGGACAACCACACACAGCCACACACACAGCACATACCTGCGTGTGCCTGCCGACTTGCGCTACGTAGAATTCCGCATAATAGACGCACAGTTTTGAACTACGCCCTAACAGGGCGGTGTGCTGAGGTTGATATTTTATTCGTAACCAACCTTCTTCCATTCATGATTTTCCATACATTTCAAAATCGATCCCTCGGGAGCAGCCGGTGGGTCATCGCTTTCTTCCCGGAATCGGAATCGTTAGCGGCTGAACTGAATGATTGTGTACAACTCCCAATGATCGGTTCCCGGAGAGATGGAAGGCCATTCCCCGACGATCTCCGCCCCATGCGGTTCTCGACTTGAACTCCCGAGAAGTCCGCCCATTATTCGCCGAATTCTTCCGATCAGGTTTTCGCGATTGCTAGAGGAAAGGGAATACGTCGCTCAGCTTCCCGCTGACGGGACACTCGAACGGGAAGCTATTTTTCGATTGTACTTGTCCGAAAGGCCGAACAGTTAGGGATGATTTCTTCGACTTCAAACAAGAGATCGGACGCTGTTGTTGTGCAACCACGGCAGTTTCGTGGCTCGAGCACGGACATCCGCGCCAAGCTATAATGTTTCGGCTTTCCGGTGTCAGATGCAGGGCGGGGATCTTTCGCGGGGTCAATGGATACGCGCCGCGCCCATGGCGTGAGTTGAACCACGGCATCATTCTCTTACAGACTCCAGTGTCAACGTTTTCGACCTGATAGCCGACAGACCAATCCCCCGCTCAGCCACCCGGAGCGAATGTAAAGTCAGACCTTGTACACGGATCTCGGGTGCGGATCGAAGCAAGTAAATATGTCTTTCACTTAGACGAGATGGTCCGCATCGATATTGGTTCGCGTGAGCTCCGGGTAATGAATTCGTCATCGTGATCCCACGCATATCGTTTTGATACGGCGGTCAGGTGTCCTGAACGCGTCACTTTTAAAGCAAGTTTTTGAGTATTTGTTTGACTCCGCATCGATTCCGGAAGCGATCGTCAGTCAATCAAAACTTCGACGAAATCTTTGATTGATCATCGGATAAAACACGGAGCGGAACCCAGTTCCGGACCATCACCAGCTCATTTGAAGGATCCCGCGGACGACAGATTCCGATCGGCTCCAGATCCCAGTCGCCACATACCTTATCGCCAACAATCAGGATATGGTGTTCTGAGTACTGATCAGAGTCAGAAAGATGTCGCCCGGATCTCTCGACGCCGTCCATGGTTCTTTGGGATCTCGGCGTTTCCCAACACAGATCAGAGGGCCTTGCCTCATTCGATGGAGTAAGGAATCACCGATCTAGTGATCATTCATGAACCGATGGTCAAGCGAGTTTTTATAATTAGAATAATCATCGACCGTACCTGATGATCTTCTCTTCCTAGAATTCATGTAAGAATGGAGATCATGGTCGTTGTGGACTCATTGTCAGACGAAGAGCTCTACACTCCGTCATTGGTCCCGCGATGCCGCGATCCCGTGTAGCGAATCGTGAGTCGCTGAGGAACGTCGCAACTCTGCTCCGAACAAATCTTCGGGATAGAAAATCGAATCATGCTGCAGTGGCCGCAGTGAAGAGTTCTCGCTATTCCCGCTCGAAGCCCTTCGATGGTTATCGAGCAGCTTTTTCGAAGTATTAGAACAATAGCTCCATGGAAGCTTCCCAACTTGACTTGGCTCCGCTTTTCTCTCTCTCTCTCGTGCAGCTGTTGGCGGCGCCGGCGGTGACAGCACCGGGGCGAACAAGATCAGCGCTGGCCATCGCGGCTTGATGCGTCAATCGCGAAAAAGCTTTTGCGACTGCTAGCAGATTACTCTGATGCTTCGTCTCTTCAACTGTGTCTCTCCCCGTCTCGACCGTCGAACTGGGCAAAAATCGAAGGTGACTAAAGAGAATTTGACGAGGAAGAAGTTCATGAGACAGAGGTTGACAGGAGCCATCTATTCTCGTGACGACTGAAAGCTCCCTGATTGGTCGGGGAGAAAAAAAACTCGCAGTGTATACCGTGCTCCGCACGTGCTCCATACGGGATGGAGTAAGATGCACTCCGAGCGAGTTCCCTCCCGAAAACACAGACAGAACAACCGAGAGGTTTCTTGGAACGAGGGCTCCGGACCCAGCCTCCCGGACCCCATTATGTGCTCCGGACCTGAGTCAAGGGGGAGCAGGCGTGGTATATGCGTCGTCGGCGAATTGCAGTGCGTCGCTTCCTTGCTATCGTTTTTCTTCACGCTAGAGGACGGAGCTACTCCGTCGGTAGGCAAAACAAGCCCAAGCAAGTGGAAACTCAATCTGCGTGAGCGAAGCGATTCAAGCTTCAAGAAGGAATCGCTCCGAGGTACGCCAGCAAGGTTCAAGGACGAGAGCTCCGCCGAATTTCAAACAAGCATTGATCTCCCACGACAAGGAGTCAGAAGTTCTGACACGTAGTCGACCCTTCTCGTCACAACTATCCGCTGCATGAGAGAATTGCGTTTCTTGGGGGAAGTCGCGAGATACGAGCCTCACATATATTCGACAGAGGCGTGAATGGACACAGATCCTGCTCCATAGTTCCTCTATGGGTGACGGGAATCAACTTCGGGATTGCAATATTCTCGACAGTCGTCGCATATTTCCAGATCCAGCACGTCGATCGCGAACGGATTGTATTGGAAAATATTCCGAGGATATCGAACTTGGTCAAGCTCTACATCTCGTTGGCAGGAATCATCGATTTATCCGTGAAATTGAGGGGGGAGCTCTCATCGAGGTGTCGACGGATACATTGCGGCTTCTGGCGCGGCAAGGGAGAGCGCATTGTCCCCGATTCATCTGCGTTGCAGCACAAATTATTGAATACCTGCCGAACCACCACCTCCGGCGGTCGGCTGCCCACGAGTGACTCGATCAGACATTTTCCACGAGGTCTTCCAGCAGTTCCGACAGAGGGTGGAATGGCTCGGACGAGTTGCAGAACTCTGTCAGAGGGTGTCGTCTTTGAAAGGAACCAGATTGACTATATGGTGCTCTCTACGATACGGCTCGGCTCATAACTGATCATATTGTGGGAGCATGTGATCGAAAATAAAAAAAAACATTGTCAACCGCAGAAGCCTCCGGGCGATGCGCACCGAAAATTAACTCGACGTCCCCGCTCCGGGCGAGGAACCCACCGAGGCCTTGTAACAACGACGCCGACGTGCACACCCGCGAGCCGTGAATGGGGTCGAGCTCCGCGTAAGTGCGCACACGCTCGCACGAGACGTCTCTCCTAGGGAATACATACTTCGCTCCCGGACTCTGGAGCTCAAACGGAATGTGTACTGTCAAATCATAGATTGGGTACAGTTGCATGCACCAGATTTCCGTGTTTGCCTCTGAGAGCCCCTCCCGTCTTCATTCCTGGACAAATCGTCAGAAACGAGTTCCGTGACGGCGTGGCTACGGCCGAACGGTACCGTCGAGTGACGCGCGCCCATACACGAACAATTCACATTGATTGGCTCCGGCGATCCGGTTTTAAAAAAATGAGACATGACCGTGACAGAGGACCGCGGCAATGGACGGAAAGATGAACGCTCGGGAGCTTATTGTCTCGTCTCCAGCTATCGTCAAGCGTGCAATTTGTTCGATCAGTCTTAAGCGATCCGGAACTGGCGTCACGACGTTATTCCGTAGGCTGTCGCATCACCATTGCGTGGGGGGCGACAAGCCTCGGAGCGTGATGAAATCTCATCGATTCGAGTTGCGCAGCGTCGAGCCCCTGAGGTCAATGAGAATTCGGCGAAAGGTGCTTAGACGGTGAGATTTGTTAAGCATCTACGGTCGAGGATACCAATCATTTTCAAGCTCGAACTCCCCATGTCTTCTCCCAACCCGAAC